CGAAGAATCCGCCGCCGAAGTCGAGACGCTCAACGAAGTTTGCATGGATAAGAGTTCTCGCGTGCAGCACGTCGAAAAGGAAAAGAACAGTCTGGAAGAGAAGAAGGACAAGGCGCTTGCATACATTCGCGATGAGAACGAACTCGCCATGAAGCAGTCAGCTTTGTACCAGCTCTACATTCATGAGTGTACCGACAACATCGCTGTAACGGAAGAGGCTATTAACCAGCTGCAAGCCGAGCTTGACAATGAACTCGCAAAGCACCAGGGTAGTCAACAAATCATCAAGGAGCTCGAGAGCAAATACGACGAAGTCATCAGGGAGTTTGAGATTCAAGATAGGCAAACTCAGGCCTTGTCGAAGGAACTGGCAAAGTTTGAGCAGGAGCGCGTCAAATTTGACGAGAAGAAAAAGTTCCTGGAAGACAAGCGGAAGAAGCTCGAGAAGACCATCCGAAACGCTGAATTCTCAGCAGCCGAGGCCGAAGAGACAATCGAGCAGTGTGGTAATGATATTGAGACCAAGTCACACGAGATTACGGCATTGGAGAATATGGTTAAGGAAGAGGAGGCCGAGCTCGCCAACATTCGAGAGAGTCTGAAAGGGAAGACGCAGGTTTTTTCGGATCAGATCGCGGCCAAACAAAAGTCTCTTGAGCCCTGGATGGAAAAGATCAACCAGAAGCAGTCTGCCATTGCTGTTGCCGAAAGCGAAATGAACATTCTGCAAGAAAAGGCGAATGCGGGTGCCGTTGCCCTGCGGGAACTCGAGGCCAAGGTCCACTCCATCGAAGAGGGCAAAGTTGCCAAGCAGAAAGAGCTCCAGGCTTGCCAGGTCGAAAAGGCAAAGTTGACTAAGGAGGCCGAGAAGATGAAGTCCGAGCTTCAAATCCTTTCGGAGCAGGAGCCCAAGATCAGATCAAAGATCTCCACTGCACGCCAAAAGGCAGACGAGGCTCGCTCAAGCCTGGCCAATAACCAGACAAGGGGTAACGTCTTGTCTGCTCTGATGCGGATGAAAGAATCGGGTCGTATTGATGGATTTCACGGTCGCTTGGGCAATCTTGGCACTATTGACAGGAAATACGATGTGGCAGTTTCCACGGCCTGTCCCTCGCTGGACAACTTTGTCACAGAGACAGTCGAGGCGGGTCAGCAGTGCATCGAGCACCTGCGTAAGAACAACCTCGGCCGCGGCAACTTCATCTGTCTGGACAAACTGCGACACCGAGACCTCTCACCGATCCAGACACCGGAGAATGCGCCGCGGCTCTTCGATCTCGTCACGGCAAAGGCAGACAAGTTTCTGCCGGCTTTCTATCACGCTATGCAGGATACGCTCGTTGCCAATGACCTGGCGCAAGCGAACCGCATTGCTTATGGTGCCAGGAGGTGGCGAGTCGTCACGCTGGACGGTGAACTGATCGACAAGTCTGGTACGATGTCTGGAGGTGGCTCGACTGTCAAGAGAGGCCTTATGTCGTCCAAGCTTGTGGCCGATACTACGAAGGAGCAGGTGGTCAAACTCGAAGAGGACCGCGATGCCTGGGAAGCCAAGTTCCAAGAGTTCCAGGACTACCAGCGAGAATGCGAGAACAACCTGAAGGAATTGAATCACAAGATCCCGCAACTGGACACGAAGATGCAGAAGATCGGGCTGGAAATGGAGAGCGCTACGCGAAACCTGGCTGATGTTGAGCGACGTATCAAAGAAGTCAGCCGAGAGTACCAGCCTTCCGCCGAAGACTCCCAGCGGATCGCGGCACTGCAGAAAGAAATAGCCAAGCTTACTGCGGAACTTAAGAAGACCCGTGGGGAGATGTCCAGTGTCGAAGAGGAGATCAAGGCTCTGCAGAACAAGATCATGGAGGTTGGTGGAGAGAAGCTGCGAGCTCAGAGAGCCAAGGTCGACTCCATCAAGGAGGAGATCAAGTCCCACAACGACGACATCTCCAAAGCCGAAGTCCAGAAAGCCAAGGCTGAGAAGCAAAAGGTCAAGCTCGAAAAGGACTACGCAAAGGCCACCAGAGAGCGTGATGCTGCAGTCCACGACCTCCAGCAGCTCCAGGATGGCCTAAACAACCAAGGAGAAAGGGCAGAGGAGCTGAAGGCTCTCGTGGAGGAAGCCGAGGAAGGCCTGGGGCTGAAGAAGAAGGAGCTGAAGAAGCTCAAGGCCGAGCTCGACGAGAAGACCGCAGAGCTCAACGCGAGTCGCGCCGTGGAGATTGAGATGCGCAACAAGCTTGAGGAGAATCAAAAGGTGCTTGCTGACAACCAGAAACGCTTCCGATACTGGGAGGATAAGCTGTCCAAGCTTGTGCTCCAAGATATTGACGATCTCACCGGCAACTCGGCTCCCAAGACTGCCACGGCGCAGGAACCAGAAGAGCCAGAAGCGCCAGGGACGCCGAAAGCTTCAGCCCAGGGCGACGACGACTCGGACGTTGAGATGACAGATGCTGACACTGAGATGACGGACGCGTCAGATGCCGACTCTGAGCACACGGAACATGCCCCCAGCGCGCCCGCCCGCCGTCCCCGCAATCCCCGCGAGTTCCCAAGGTATACGCCAGACGAGCTGGCTGATATGAACAAAGAGAAACTGAAGGGCGAAATCGCGGCTCTGGAAGAAAAGACGCAGAATGTCAGCGTCGACCTCGGCGTCTTGGCTGAGTACCGCCGCCGTGTGGAAGAGCACATGTCTCGCGCATCCGATCTGCAAACAGCCATTGAGCAGCGCGATGCTGCCAAGAAGAGGTGCGATGATTTGCGTCGCCTGCGACTCGAAGGCTTCATGGAAGGCTTCAGCGCAATCTCACTGCGTCTCAAGGAGATGTACCAGATGATCACCATGGGAGGCAATGCCGAGCTCGAGCTGGTCGACAGCCTGGATCCCTTCAGCGAAGGAATCCTGTTCAGCGTGATGCCGCCGAAGAAGAGCTGGAAGAATATCGGTAACTTGTCTGGTGGTGAAAAGACTCTGAGTAGTCTTGCACTGGTGTTTGCCCTGCATCACTACAAGCCAACGCCGCTGTATGTCATGGACGAGATTGACGCCGCTTTGGACTTCCGAAACGTGAGTATCGGCCCTGCAATCATTTCTCCCCCCTAGCCTTCTTTTCCTTTCTGCCGCATGTCGTGGCGATAGGGGTATTTGGCACGCTAACAGCACCACCAGGTCTCGATCGTGGCGAATTACATCAAGGAGCGTACAAAGAACGCACAGTTCATCGTCATCTCGCTACGAAACAACATGTTTGAGCTTGCAGCGCGCCTTGTCGGCGTGTACAAGGTCAACCATATGACGAAGAGTGTGACAATAGAGAACAAGGACTTCATCGAGAGGCCTCAAAAGACGCAGCAGCATCAGAGAACACTGGGAGCTGGCGGCGCCACGGCCACACTGGCGATTAGGTAGTACTGCCAAGTTGTTGTTTTCAAATTTACGAACGGGGACGACTGTTGTGTTGCTTAGGACTGCGATGGCTGATTTTTTTCACGACAGTTAATGATGTATCCATGAACGCATATATGAAGCAGGAAAAAGGGTAGGCGGATATTTTCGGAGCATATGGCTGTGGCTTCTTCCTTGTTTGGGTTTTCCTTTTTTCTTTAACTCTTGCAGACTGTCGAGTCGGATGGAGAAAGTGAGGATATAGCTTTTAATGATTTTTATGAGCAAGCATTCAGGTGAGCCTCGAAGGAAGTTGAGTGTAAAAAGACCGTGCTCCCGTCTCCCCTGGTCTGTTTGTTCTCATACCCCCTACCTCTCTTCCTCTGACCTCTTCCCTTCTCCACTGCTTCTTGCCGCTATCGGCGCAGGAAATGGTCTTTCGGTGAAAGAGAGAGAGGGAGCCCACGAGTGGCAACACGAGTTCAGGTCCTGTTTACTTTCTCGTCTCGCGCAAGCGAAGACACTCGCCTCGAGCACTCGCACCAAGGGGGCGCCTTCTCACGTCTCCCCGAGCCAGAGCCCATAGCTTCCGACTCTCTCTCTCTCTTCTCATCCGACCAACCCCAGATTGGGGAATGCGAGAAATGTCTTAGAAGAAGGAAGTAAACAGCTGGCAGTGCCGCTTTTTCCTCCCTTTCGTCTGATTTCTCGAAGGGGAGATGGTTCGTGCGTTGCGTGCCGTTGCGTCGACGTGTTTGTGCCACGTGCAGCAAGGAGTCCGGTCTCACCCCTTTAGGAAGAGACATTTCAGAAGAGACACAGAGAGGACAGAAAACAGAGACAAAGGTGAGAGAGAGTGCAGGATCTCGCGTGCATGAGACAAAGAGATGGTGATGGGGTTGACTTTTGCTTGGGATGGTGTTGCACGACGTGGGATGTTGTGTTACGGAGGGGGAAAGAAGAGGTGGGCATGGGATGGGGTCGGAAGAGTGGGAGAAGAGAAGAGGAGAGGGAGGTTTTCTGAGATGTTGTGGATGGAAGAAGGGATTGCGGCTGAAGGTTCTTTCTTTTGGGCGGCGTTTTGGACTGTGTTGTGCTTTTTGAACTGAAGACTTGGATACAGCTTCAGGAGTACGGCCGAGAGAAGACAGAGAGCGTTAGAATCAGGAGCTGGACGGCGGAATAGAAGGGGTGACCATCTTGAGTCTGACCGAGACAGATGCAACGAAGATTGCCGGTTCTAGGCTCTGGCTGAGGGGGTGCTTGATACGGGGGTGAGGACTCGGATCGGATATCCAGGGCCGACTCGGAGAGTCCTTCTTTTTTCCTGTCAAAGTTAGTCAGGGGCTGCTGAGTTACGGACACACGGTGTTGTCTCGGTCCTTGAGGAGCTGAAGGATGGCGAAGTCGTGCGAATTGTTCAGCTCTGGTGGATAGATGCTACCAAATTCTGCCATCATGTATTTTCCATATACGCACACATATATATATATGTATATGAACTAGCAGAATGCATATCCATCATCACCAGGACACATCTTTCCATCTGTCGTTTTCTGAGCATCCGACACGATTCTTTCATCCTCCTCCTCTTTCTTTTTTCACCATGCTACTTCTTGCGGTCTTGGTCAGTTTCCACGGCGTGAGTGCCTTGCCCGCGGCCCAGAACGCCGCTTCTTGTTCCTATGACGATCTTTACACGTCGCTCTCGAGGGAGGGGAGCGAGTTTTGTTCGAGCATGGTTAAGACCCCGTGCGAGGTGTCGGCGACGCCTGCGCAGTTTACGTCGTATCCCTCTGACAAGCTATCTTCCTATGTAAGTTCGTTTCTTCACTACCACTTATATCGTTTCGATAAAGGGAGGGGGGAAACTTTGGGGCTGATGAGGTGTCAAGTGTGAATGTCTCATGACGACCGGTACTGCCTATGGGACGGCCGCGCCTACAGCCACCGGCCAAGCAAACAGTTCCGAGACGTATACTTCGTGGCGGTATTCTCGGGGGCCGACGGGCTCGCAGGCCTGGTCCTCGGATGGCAGCGGCGGCAGCGATGGGAGCAGCAGCCCGACGGATGATGGAGCCTCTTCTTCTCGTGCTACTACGCAGACTGGCGATGCGGGTTCGACTGGGCGTGTTTCCATTGAGCCTTCGAGTATCTTGCAGGCTAGCACTTCTGATTCTATGATGAGTGGTGGTGGTGGCTCTGGAGGTGCTTCGGGGACGGCGTCGGGTATCGTTGGGTCTGATACTGGGTCGGTGACGGGGAAGGCGACGCGGACTTCGTCGGGTGCTTCTCAGGGGAGTGGTGATGGGGGGGATGGCTCTGGTAATGGTGGCGGCTCAGCTGGTTCGTCCAAGACAGCATCTGCTTCCGCTTCCGCATCCGCTTCAGCTTCAGGCTCAGGCTCAGGTTTGGCATCTGCGTCAGGGTCAGCTTCAGCATCTGGGTCTGGATCAGCCTCTGCCTCAGCTTCTGCGTCGGCATCTGGTTCGGCATCCGGGTCAGCATCAGGATCGGCTTCCGCTTCCGCTTCTGCGTCTGCGTCTGCATCGGGCTCAGCTTCGGCATCGGGCAGTGCCTCCTCCGGCAATGGAGGAAATGGAGGAAACGGCGGAACAGGAGCAACGTCAGCTTCTCAAGGTGCCCAGGGCTCCTCCACCCCCGCAGCAGGTGGCGGCTCGGGAAACGGTGGCCAAGGGACCTCGGGTCTCAATGCCACTTCAGCTGGCAGCAACTCTGGCAGCGTCACCTACCCCGGATCAACACCAACAATATCCTCTGGGGGAGCATCTGGAGGCCCCGGCTGGAACAGTTCGGCAGCATCTTCTCAAGGGGGCGCCGGCACCGGGACCATGGGTTCTCTGTCTCCCACAGCCACCGGCGGCTCTGGCAATCCAGGCGGAGGATCAGGAGGCATCAACGCCACGGCAACAGCAACGATTGCCACGTCTGCTCCCTTCATCACGCCCAGCGGCTTCAACAGCAGCACCATCAGCCGCATCGTCAACGCAACGCAGACTGGGCCGCCTCCCTTGCCTGCCGCCAACTTCACGCAGGTGACTCGAACCGGTGCCATTGTCAAGCCGACATGCTACCAGATGCCGCAGCCTGCAGAGGGTGCGACTCGAAGAGCACTGCTTCACAACACGGATCTCCGCGAGCGAAACGCAACGATTCCGTTCCCGTACATCGAGTCAGTCGACTTCCAGACCGACGGCGTGGATCCTCTCTATCTCACCCTGCGAGATGCAGCCGAGGGAACGCACTACATCGACGTCTCCAACAGAAGCTACATCGCCATTGTCGACTCGCTGTACAATGCCATGATCATCGACGCCAATGGCGTGCATTTTTCGACCAAGAACTGCCAGTACGACGTGTCCATCACCATCGACTCCATGTACCAGCAGCTGGCTGCGCTTTCTGGCCAAGTCTGTTCCACGGGCGACCAGAAGATGATGAAGCGGATGAGCGACGTCGACTTCAACCAGACCCTGTATCTGCGGGATCAGTGCAATAATCCGGTCAAGCAGACGGTGCGGCAGTATCCGGAGCTTAAAATTGGGGACACGAACTGCAACGACCTGGAAGTCGATGAAGAGACCGGCCGCTGGCTGTTTGACTGCACGTTCCCCGGCTCAGAGTCTGGCACCCTCAAGTGCGAATACGCTGTGAGGAACGACATTGAGGAGTTTCTCTTCACGGATCCCTTTGGCGGTGCCTGTCCGGACCTGTCCACCGTCATCACGACCCTCGAGGCCAACGGCCAGGACTTCATCAACCCAGAGTCCCTCCGAACGGAGCTGTACAACCAGGGCCTGGACGACGCCCAAAAGGCAGAGGCGAACCTCATCGTCATCTACTACGAGCAGCTCTGGGAGATCCTCAAGCAGGCCTTCTCCAAGCTGCGCACCCAGAGCCCGGACAAGGTGAGCGCCATCCAGGAGTACATTGACGTGTACAACCAGTACCGCAACTTCGAGGACGACATCTGCGAGGACCTGCACGCCGGCGACATGCCCCTGAAGATGAGCCTCCGCGCGGGCGTCACCTACGTCGACGCCATCGCCAGGCTCAACTGGGCGCCCGAGGCCCCCAAGCCCTTCAACGTCACCGTCCAGGACCCGGACAAGCTCGCGTGCTGCAGCCCCGGGAGCAACGCCAGCAGGGACGAGGCCGCGGGGACGTGCGCGTATCCGCAGAGCGCCCACCTCAGCGGCACCGGGTGCGTCTGCGGCAACATGGCCTCGGGGGCGTCGGTGGCGTTCGAGGTGACCGAGTGCGAGAACTTTGTGAGCGAGTGCCAGGCGGACGAGGATTGCTCCAAGGCTGGGCATCCGACGTATGTGTGCCTGACGGGGACCTGTTGCGGAACGGGTGTTTGCGTTGATCCGTATGAGTGTGCGCAGAACGGAAGTGTGCTGGTGAGGCCGGGCCTCTTTTGAAGTACTAGTAGACCTGCTGGATGCCAGCCGGAACAGTTGTAGCGGATTGTGAATTGGCTTGTCGGTAGGACGCAAGGAGGATATGGTTGATGGGATTGAGCCCTGGTGGTTGCTTTGGATTCGTTTGTGCGTTTTTGTTTTCTCTTCCATCATGTCACCAATATGTCAGGCAACATATCATAGCATCACAAAGCGAAAGGGAGGCAACAGGTTGCTCTTTTCAACAAAAAGAAAAAGTCCGATTCATCTTATGCTCCAGGATTCTCTTTGTCCCGGGGATTCATCTAAGCAATTACATGAAAGGCGTTAAAACTAAACCAGACTCCGTTCCCATTACCATCATACCCTTTTCCTTAGACCTTGGGGGCAGCGGTGGGGACGATCTTCTTGCCGTCCTTGTTGTAGCGGACACGGGGAGGAGGAGCCCTGTTACGGCGGCCCTCGCGAGATCGGACACTATTTGATACTTCTGTCAGCATTCCAACGTACCTTGTGAAAGAGGGGGGCTCGGGGGATATAGGATTTTCGAGAGCTGGGACGTGTAAAGGTCCCATTGTACAACCAAGGCTCATCTGAAGCACATACGCCGCAAGGGCGCAGTTGTAACACTCCCAGGGGAGACAACGTACCGGACAATCTTGCCGTGGATAGCGCAAGAGACGCAGTACTGCAGCTTCAGGTACATCTTGGGGACGGTGTACTCGGCGAAGACGGAGGCATCGGAGATATCACCTGCAAGAACAAGAGTTAACGGATGCTGAATTTCAACTTTCGGAGGGGGAGAGATTGCTCCTCTATGAGGCAAGGTTGACGTACGGATGGCGGCGGACTCGACCATGTTGCGGATGGTGAAGCGCTTGATCGCCTTGTCCTTGGGGGTGCATCGCGAGCAGTTGCTGCAGCGGATGGGCTTGGTGTGGCCGCGGCCCTTCTTGTTGCGGCCGCTGTTGTCATATTAGCATCGTGTGTCTTTTGAGATGGATCGGGCACAAAATCATCGTCCCCCATCCATCATCCATCTCGGTAAGATGCTATTGACGACGGCAGTTCTCGCAGGGCAAGAACATATCGGCTCCAAAGCAGTCCGGGCGATGGGATGCGCCGGGGTAGACGAGGCGAGGAGCAAGGGCAGAGTGCATACTTGTTCTTTCTCTTCTTGACCATTTTGGCGGTGTCTGGATTGAACTGTTAGATTCTCACGCAGAAGGAAAAGAAAGAAAAGAGGAAGTTCGGTCGACGTACTGGCAATCGGTGTTTGTCGAAAAGAACTGGAGACTGGCTCGGCTCGTGCACGTTCTAGGGCTTGCAGCAGAATTGAAGCTGTGCCAAATCAAATTGCCCACTTTGGAATCTTTTAGTGCCGCCACCCACCGCTGCACAAATTGGGTCGCCCTCTATGACAAGATAGGTACTGATACTAGTACTGGTACTGGGGAATTTTGGCGAGGGGCCAAGGGCAGCCCGTAGCGAGAGCCCTAGATCAGGTGACCGCGTTAGCAGCGTCCGCCCGGGCGAAAGTGAATTTTCTGGCGCGCCACACCAGCGAAATGGACTGCTCCCTCATCTTCTGCAACATCTGAAGATTGCTTAGGACGGCAATAAGTTTTATTGTCGAGGTATGTCTGAAAGATGCTGCATTTCTGTCTGCCCTCCATGAGCTCTGGGAGCTTCATGAGGGACTCATCATTGATGTCTCCTTCTTGAAATTTCTCTTCTTTGTTGCTCCCAGAGCTCTATTGCCCAAAATTTCCCAATCGTCAACTGTCGCGGAGAAATCTGCAACAGACGACAAAACATCATCCTTCTTCTCTCTCCTGCAGACTTCTCTCGCGCGCAGCAAATGGTGGTATGCCGTGCAAACAAATCTAACCCGTCCAGTTAGGCAAGATGCAGATTTTCGTCAAGACCCTCACGGGGAAGACGATCACCCTTGAGGTGGAGTCTTCCGACACCATCGACAACGTCAAGTCCAAGATCCAGGACAAGGAGGGCATCCCCCCGGACCAGCAGCGCCTGATCTTTGCCGGCAAGCAGCTCGAGGATGGCCGCACCCTGAGCGACTACAACATCCAGAAGGAGAGCACCCTCCACCTGGTCCTGCGCCTGCGTGGTGGTGCCAAGAAGAGGAAGAAGAAGGTCTACACCACCCCCAAGAAGATCAAGCACAAGCGCAAGAAGACCAAGTTGGCTGTCCTCAAGTACTACAAGGTCAGCAACGATGGTAACATCGAGCGCCTTCGCCGCGAGTGCCCCTCCGACACTGTGAGTATCTTCCTCTCTTTTTTCGCTTTCTGGCGAGAGACAACTCAAGACTGACATGTTCCATCCAGTGCGGTGCTGGTGTCTTCATGGCTGCCATGCCTGACCGTCAGTACTGTGGTCGCTGCCACCTGACCTACGTCTTCGACAAGCAGTAAATGACGACAACCAAACAAAAAATTTCTTACAAAAAATGGAAAAATGATTTTGTGGATTGGACAGCTGGAGCCATGGGACTGCCATAACATACAAAGGGCGTTGATGTAGCATAGAGAGCACATCCGGCGGCTTCTGGTAATGAATGCTTGATTTGAGACACGTTTGGGACTTGCTTTCGGAGACTGCAATTTCATGTGACAAGGTGCAATGAGTGCCATATGAGAACAACTCGTGCTGTCTGATATGACGTTTGTACCATCGTGTAAATCACCAGTATGAACTGGGTTCAGTAGACCTAAGTACCTGATTCCACGATAAGGCGATAAGGGCCCATTCGGTGGTATTTTCTCTTCAGTTTCGCAATTTCAGATTCCAGACCCACTTTCGGTGAAAATAGGGTCGCCCGCATTCAATGCCATCAGGATGCGGCAAGACAAAGGTTCCTGCTCACCAGATTCTATCCCTCGAGGAGGCAAGTTTTGTAAATTTTCAGATTTCAATTGAATCGTGCATTATGTCAACAAACCTAGGGTAAATCGACATCCGCAAACCGGAAATATCGGGTACGCAGCCCTTGTAAATACTCAAACATGTAAAACGCAAAGTAGTTTGTTCCTTGAACGCCATTACCGAATTCCCTTTACTCCCTCAAATGTGAAGTGCAGCAGACACCACTCCCTCCCTTTTCTGTCCCCCAAGCCAAGAGCTGGCCTCCCTCTTCACTCACTCGACTTGCTCTTCTTGGACTTCTTGCTCTTGTCCTTCTTGTCGGTCTTGGACTCGGCGAGTGTCTCCAGGTCGTTGTCGAGTTCGGCGGAGCTTTCGCCAGCCAGCTTCTCCTTCTTCTCCTTCTTGTGCTTCTTCTTCTGCTTGTCAGAAGTCGAGGCAACATCTCCATGCTCCTCCTTTACCTTGACGTCGTGCTTGGCCTCCTTGGGCGGGGCCACATCGATCGCCTCGGACGCAGTCGAAGTCTCGGAAGCGGCGAAGTCGCTCTACTCATCCTTGGCTCCCTTGGACTTCTTCTTCTTCTTTTTCTTCTCACCGTCATCGGCGTTGGTCATGGCGACATCCTCATCCTCTCCATGCTTGCGCTTCTTGTCCTTCTTGTCTTTCTTGTCCTTCTTATCCTTCTTCTTGTCCTTCTTCTCCTTCTTGGAGGCGGCGGCATCGGGAGCATCAACCATGTCCTCATCCAGCTTCTCGCCGGCATCTCCGAGAGTCTCCATCACGGACTTCTGCAATGGGGGTTAGATGATTATCGACATGGCAAGCGAAAATTGGGTTGTGATTTTGCAACTTACAATGACATCAGAGTTCTTGGTAGGGCGCTTGCCAGTCGCATAGAATTCAAGGCGCTCCTCCACCTGGGCCTTGAAGGCTTGACCGAATCGGTCGTCAGGCTCACCAGAAAAGACATCGATACGAGAGGCCATGGAGGCTTTGTTAGCGACACATCGGGACATGCGACCCTTGTTCTGCTTGCTGGCCTTGGCGATGGCGCCAGCGTGGTACAGGAGGCCGAACTTGGGAGTGTTGCCCTTGGTCTTGAGCGCTCGGAAGAGAGCCTTCTCGGCACCGAGAATCTGGAGGGTGGACGAGGGCAGCTTGGCCAAGCTGGTAAGAGAACCGGCGTGAGAGATGAGACGAGCGGCGACGCTAGATCCGAGCAGGGCCTTGAGGTTGGGCGCGACCTGGTCGAGCTTCTCGTCAAGGTAGGTGGAGGTGGATCGACGGTTGTCGGCCTGCTTGACGACAAGCTGAGACAGCTGCTGAATCATGTCGTAATCGGGGGCACTCAGGTCATAGCCCATGGAGACCTTGGCAGCATCAATGATGGCCTGGGCCTTCTCTCCGTCTTCGCCGAGAACAGCGGCAATGTCGTGCAGCTTCTCGTCAGTGAGCGTCTTCTTGTCGCCAATGACGCCGACAAGCTGAGCGTAGGTGTAGTTGTCGGACGTGAATCGCTGGAGCTCGGGAAAGTGCGAGCCGTACCACTCACGGAGGCGCATGAAGAAGCTGTTGACGCCCTTATCCTGGAAGTCGACGGTGGCAATGGCCTGGATGATGTGGTTGTCGTTGCGGGTGACGTTGAACTTGACCTTGGCGCGAGAGTAGGCGTGGGCCAGACCCAGGGAGGCCTTGCTCAGGTCGCCGGTCTGGAGGCCCTTGAGGAGCTTCTCGGCGTGCAGGCGGATGCCGCGGATGAGCTCGGCAACAACCGCGGAGGTCTCGATCGTCTCGATGGAGAGGCCGGGGAACTGGGCCTTGATAGCGCTACCAAGATTCCTCTCGGCCACACCCAGCGTGATCTTGCTCTTCTTGCCGCTGGTCTGCGGGAGGTTGAGCTCAAGGACGGACTTGAGCTGGTCGGAGACAATGCCCTCGGAGATCAAGTTGACGTTCTCGAGAGCCTCGATGTGACCACTTCCCACCAAATTCTGTCAGCCTCCGCTCGCCTCGCCTCTACCATCACACAACCACGACGACAGGACAGGACTCAATTACCTGAAAGGAGTAAAGTTGACAAGGTTGACCATCTTGCTGAACTTGGGCAGCTCGTTAATGGCGGCCTGGACCTCCTTCAACTTGGCGCCCACGGCATCGGCCTGGTGCACGACGTTGAAGAGGGCATAGCCCAGGGCGGCCTCGAACAGGACGTAGTCGACGTGCGCCATCTTTGAATCTCGTCCCAGGCGAACGCCGTAATTCGGTTGGATTGACGTGGAAGAGCGGCGCGGTGATGCAATTGGGGGCGGCGCTGCTTCGCTCTCTGGGTGGTGTTTCTCAAGATTCTTCGCATCCAACTTTTTTTTTTTTTTTCCAAAAGTCGACGAAATTTTCTGGTAGCTCTGAGCTTTAGCGATTGAGCCAATCAGAGCCTGCAGTCGGCTGGGTCTCTCAGTGTGAGAGCGGTCACGTGCAGAGAAGCGGGGCATTTCTGCAGGTACTTTGCAGTTGTACCTCCAAGTTGCGTGAGGTGAGGTCAAGCTGAGAACTGAATCCATGGGTCATCACAAGTTGAGGCGAGATGCTCATGCTGGAGTCGTCATTCTATTTTTGCACATTGCTTTCTTTGTCTCTGTCTATGTCGATTCATGAGCTCGTCAGAAACTACGTCATACTAATTTACCAGTCCACCCAGCTCAAACTTTCTCAACTCTGCTCTCAGTTGTTCGGAAACCCGTTCCTCAGGTTATCATACTTGGACTGCGGATAATCGACGCAATTGTCCTTCCTCTGCAACGCCCCCGGGCCTCCAAACTCATTGACGACAATGCCAATCAAGCTGTCCCGGCCCTCCTTGTCTGCGCTGCTCTCCCACCACATGCCGCCTCCGAGACCCCACTCCTTGATGTACCCAGCCTTGACTCTGGCGGCATGGGGAGTGTCGTAAGAAACGAGCTTCCTAGTTTGCGGGTTGTAGCAGTAGCTGGCACCCGTTGCCTCGTCCCAAAACTCTTGAGAGCCCGGCAGAGGGAGGACTTTGTAGTCGAAGATGCCGTTCTCCCACGATCCCTCGCCAATACCGCTATATGGCTTGCCCGGCCCATCCGTGTTCTCGAAAGCACGGCCGTAGATGGGCATGCCGAGCACAATCTTGCTGGGCGCCACTCCGCTCCTAGTGTAGTGATCGATGGCTGCATCGGTAGAGAACGGTGTAGACGCAGGGTTATCGTAAGAGGGGTGGAGGTTCGCCTGGTGGCCACTCGTCTGGTCCCAGGATCCCGCGTAGTCGTAAGCCATCAAGTTCCAGAAATCAAGGTACTGATCCATGCCGGCGATGTCGAGTTTCTGAAAGTGTGTAGGTCCAGCCGGGCAAGCAACAGTCAGCTCAAAGTGACTGTAGTTGGGAAGCGTGGCCGAGTAGGCGTCCAGCTCTCTGCGAACGGTGGCGAGCAGCTCGACGAAATTCCTGGCCTCGTCTGCATTCTGAGGGTACTCCCAATCGATGTCGAGTCCATCAAAACCCATATTCTTTAGCAACTCGAGACTGGATTTGGCAAACGTGTCACGGCCCTGCTGGGTGCTGGCCGGCCCCTTGAAGTTGCCGCTGTAGGTCCAGCCGCCGATGGACAGGAGAACCTTGAGGTTGCGGTTGCGCTTCTTGAGCAGATTCAGCTGCTTGAGGCACCCGTACATGTTATTCCCCGTGTCATTCCACGAGTCGCCTTCCCAGTGAATGTCCGTGTCTGCCCAGCCATCTGTCATGTGTCTGAGCAGCTTTTAGCGTGCCAATCATTATCAAAGGGAGGGGGGATTTGGCGAGATTGAAGGACATACACTTCGCCGGTATCTTGGCGGACATTGGCAAATGCATAGAGGACGTGCGTCAGCTTCTCAACGGGGAGATCCTGCGGCCTATGCTTTCTGGCGTAGATGGCCCTTGATGTTGGACAAGCCCGTGTTAGCCGGTATGCGAGTGTAGATGCGGGGATGCGGGTGTGTTACACATCAGGGCTTGTTGATGCGTACAGATCGTACTCACCAGTTTACAAAGTAGGCGACAGTACGGTACCCGTCTCCTGACATGGCTGTTTGATTTGGCGAAAAGTTGATGACTGGTACGAGGGATAAGAAGAGGACCAGAGCTGCGAGAAGGGCGAGGTATCTCGGGATAGCAGTAATGGTCCTATGACGAAATGCTTGCTGATACCCTGCAGGATCCGTCTTGAAGGCGAGGAAGCTGTAGGTTTTTGTCGGTCTGCGAAGTAGTCCCTTGCTTGTTGTTTTATACTTGAATCAGAAACAAAAGCCAAGCTACGATCTCGTGTTTGCCTGTTTCCTTGTTTGTATCGGTATCATGCGTAATCAGATGTCCCTGGCCCGTTTGATTTGCAGCTCAACGGCGGCCTCACCAAAAGCTGTCGTGGTTCGCCCCTCCGCCTCCACTTTGTATGCGCTGTTACTGGCCAGCACCGCCTCATGCGACAGCTCATCTACTCAGCCCACAAGCCTGGACGATTGACTGGGGGATATTGGATGGATTTTTAACCAATGGATGGCTCGGACTTTGGAGAATTTCAATAGTAGCGGCTTGTCATCGTCACCGTTGTGGCCATGAGAGCCAAATGCATGCAGTTTGTCACTGCGGAGTAGCTGTATCTGCACGAAATACCAGGGTAGCTTGAGGATAGGTAGCTGAGGTTGAATTTACCACGCATGCTTCCGCGTCGACTGTGCTTTCATGTCTACAGTGATTACGCAAATTGCTTCAACTCCAACCCACTCTGTCTTCAAGCTTGGCAACATATGCGAACAAAAGATGAACAGTACTTTCACAGGGAACGTGTTGACGCAAATGGGAATTTCCTTGGTGAGGCGCCCTTCGGTTGTAGCACGCGCTTCAATATCTATCCATGCCTCCAGCAAACCTCTAGTCGGGAGACAAAACTGTTAAAAAGCAAACGAGATGGGGTATATATCGTCGCCTCAGTGGCCGACGAAACAAATGCGCCAACTGTCAAATCAAAACACAAATACAAAGTCCTCATTCTCGAGATCGGTAATGTCCGCAAAAGCTTTTCGGCCTTTGACATCGTCAGGTTGCACTCCGTCCTCCTCGTCTCCCCCGAGTCGGGTATCTCCATTTTCCTCGGAGAGTCGCTGGGTACCCTCTCGCATGGCTCGCTCCAAGGCCTCCATACGCTCCACCTCTTCTGCCGTCTCCAAGCTCATATCCAGAATAACTGCACTCTTTCCAAGAGCCACTCTTCGCTTGGCGTGGTCGGAGTTGAGATACTTCAGATAAAGCGATGTGATGCCAACGAGTAAGAGGACAAACGCGAAAAAGGCAATGTTCGCCCGTAAGCCTCTAGAATAGGACGGGGCTTCGTCAGGCGTAAAGAGCAGAGGTCCAAAGATGTTGCCAGCGGATGAGCCTATGAAGACCATTGCCGACGTGCATTTTCGCTTCGTATCTCCAGCTGTATTTTGCGCAGACCAAGAGTATATAAGTGGCGCTATTCTTGTCAGTTTATGAAGACATTTCCATCAGCGGAAAGATAACTTACTGATGCCAGTAAATGTGGAGAGACAAAAGTATCCTGCAAGCAAAATGGCTCTGTGCTCAACGTCATGCGGGAAGTGCAGCAGGATTGAAAATCCAATAATGGGAGGAATACACAGGAGAGCAATAATGGGCCCCTTGACTTTCCACTTCATCGATGCATACGCGCTCAATGAAACAGCCAGAACATGAGACAAGCCGACGGGAACGTTGAATAAGATGGTTCTGTACGGATCCGTGACAAAGGATTTGATGATGAGTGGGCCAAACGTTGAGATACCGTTTGAAGGAACCGAGATGCAAAAGATCATGATCACCCACAGCCAGGTCTTTAGATCTCGCAAAGCTTCGAAGAAGTGGGCATACCTCCATTCTCGCGACATGACCCCCATCTGATTGTTGCGGAGACGCTCTATGGCGAGGATCTTGTCCTCGTCGCTGAGAAACTTTGCTTCAGTGGGTGAATCCGGCATCCAGAAGAACATTGCTCCAGATACTACGACCGTAACAACGCCAAAGAAGAGAAATATGATCTTCGACCAATGTCAGTACAGACAAGTGATGGCTAACGCGGGCCATAGTTACCTGATAAGGCTTGAGATGTGAGTCTATGCTTGCCAGCCCATATGTAATGAGGCTTCCAAACTATATATCGGTCAGTGACACATATCGTATCTCAAAGTCGGGATCCAACTCACCACCCAAGTCAGACCGTTCATGCAGTACCAAGACCCAATTCTCAGCGTTTGTTCTCTATCCGACACAGAGCTTGTTAGTATTCCCAGAATCTGAGATGAAAAGCCTAGCAATAACAACATGCCTGCGTCTCCACCACATCTGCGTTATGGCAACAAAAGCCGGCCCTACGCAAGCTTCAAAGGCACCCAGGAAGAAACGAGCCGCCATGAGCTGCCCAAAGTTGTGCGCCCATGTCATGCATGCCAAAGTGACACCCCAAGCAAAAACCATGGCACTTGTGAATTTACCAATCGGCAGCTTGACCAGAGCCCACGCCAAGGGCAGCTGCATGAGGAGCTGGGCCAGATAAACAATGCTCCCCAGCCACGAGAACTCGTCGCCAACCAGGTCCGTGTCGTCGATGAGGCCAAATATGGACGCGTACGACAGCGTAGCTTTGTCGAGGGCCTGCAGAAAGTACACGGAGAGCATGAGCGGCAGCAGGGCGAGGTCGATGCGGCGGAGGATGCGGGCGTCGTCGGCGGGAGACACGGTGATGACTTCGTCTGGCGAGCGGCCGAGCTTGATGAGCATCATGGCCGCGGCATCTCGATGGACCTTGGATGGCGCGTCAGATACGTGTGAGAGCTCATCTGGCCTCTCGCCATCGTTTGGGTTCTCGTCGTCGTCATCTTGGCTCAAGGGTCGGTACGGATAGGACGAGGCCGAAGCTGACGGGTGCGATGTCGGCAGGGCGAGCTTGACCGCTGTCGAGAAGAGCTTGGAGAGCATGGCTGGCGACGGCGAGACGAGGGCATCTGTGTGTCGGGAATGTGACAGAAGCCTGTGAGCAAGTCAGATCGCCCAGCCGTGAAGAAGCTGCTGGTGTATTGCTTGAAGTTGGGGTTGAGGCTTACATGCATTCCGATAGATGTCAGCTTTAGGGGGTCTGATGACGTCTTGTCGATCCCGTGCCTGGCATCTTATCGCTGCATCTCGCTCGCTCTGGGCGCTGGGCGCTGCTGACAGGGCTCTGGTTTAGCGACATCGGGGCATTTTTCAGGGCCTGCGATGCTGCGCCAGATTGATCGCTGGACCCCACGAACAGCTCAAGCTGCCCTGCATTCCATCATTTTTGTCCCCATGAACATCGACACCTCAATGATCAGGACAAGAGTCAGCGAGGGACATAGGAGTTGCTTGATTCATCTGTAAAGAGCTTCTGGTAAGGATATTCTTATGCACGTACCGCATACAGGTGCACAACTAAAGCGCAGTAACATTGAGGCTTTGCCTTGATATCGTCTCCAAGGTGCCACCAGATGGACGCTGGATGATACGGCAGATGCCGTGATCTCAATAGCTTACGGATTGTCCGTTTCATCGCCCGTCCAAAGACGTATTCAGTTACTATACGGAGACTTTCTGCTTCAGAAATAATAGTACCACTACCTAGTACTTTCGGAGAACTCGAGGAGACATTTACAGATCTGACACCACCAGTTGACTTACATGTGCGTATACATGTACTTACATGTGCGTATACATGTACTTACATGTACGCGACATCTGCTCGGGGTTTTCACATGATGGAATAGCCATTTACCACTCATCAGGTAGTAGTAATCTCTGCTATTGGTGTCTCTTGAATCCATCTCCAAGCAGAGCTCAGACCACAGTAAATCGCCGAACAGATTATGGGAAGTCTGCCGAACGTATCTGTGCTCACGCTTTGATCTTCTTCAGGACCTGCAACGAGATGCTGGTGGGTGAGGCAACTCCATACCTAAGTATTGTTCAGTAAAACAAGCCCATCATCAATATTTATATCAAAGTTTAACTTCTTGGATCTCTTGCAGCCTCTAGGTCTATGAGAAATCAATCCACGGCATCTCCTTGCGATGCTTCTCACACAGATGATGCCCCCCTGAGGTGATCCCGGCAGCTTACCATCAGCTGCGCAGAAGCGTTTCTCTATCACCATCAACCCACCCATTCGCAAACATACTTGTACTGTCACATATCTCGTGAAGTCGTAATCACCACTACTATCGGACGTGTGACAGCTGATTATCCCACAACGTCTCCAAATCAAGCTGCTCTGGCCGAGATCTGTCGGCGATAGCCATCGGCCGCAAGAGGGTGGAGATGGGCGGCTTCGAACTCATGCACATTGGGTAGTATCCTGAAGCCGTTATGTTTTCTCCGAAGGTATGTGACCTGAAGAGGAACGCGAACATCAGAGCATTGGCCAAACGTTACAAATGTGCCCATATTTGTCAGGTAGTGAGAGCTTCACTTCATTTTCTTTCCCTTCTGCCGCTTGCCCTATCAGTCACTTCAGAGGATGCCACATGTAGGTTAGGTTCATGTGCTCAGGTATCCGATATCACCAACACCGTACATGTAGTCTGCAGTCGATAGAGGTTCAGTCGTGTCTCGGCAGATGGCTGTCTTTATGCTGCAACAAGGGTCTGACGAGCGTTCGCAGAAACCAATTGCTCCACTCACATACCTTCAATTAATAATGTCGAAGCCGCGCAGCAACAACAGCAAAGATTTCACGGCGCCTACGAGTGATGCATCTACAGATTCTCATGCCCTGAGCCCATGGGAGCCAGCCGAGGCCCCCGTTGCTGCGTCGTCCAAACGGCGACCATTGGCTCAAATTCAGGGGCCGTCCGTACAAGAGCCGTCATACAAGGACCAAGTCGTTTGTAGAGCAGACGTCAAAGATGACGAACGCAAGTTGATACAACTCGTTAGGTCCCCCTTGGCCGCCAGTATGTGGCCGGCTTGGTTGCTCCGTGTCCTTCAACGTTCTACATGTATGCTCACTGTAACACCTCTTTCGCCTCGTGACAGAGACCCAATACTGCAGACAGCCGGTGATCAGGGCTGCATCGAAATCCTGCGAGTGAGTGGCATATACGTACAGACACACACAAGTTTCAGCTCGATAGAGTGTGGCTTCCCATTCGTGAATGAGGCGTCTGGTGCTAGTTGTGTGGACCGAAGGAGGCGCCGGAGCTGTGTCGAGACTTGTGGTTGTAATATGGGCTTGACCAACGCTCCCGTCAACCAACAACATTCGTTGTCGAACCCGGCAAAGACAATAGGAGGGGGCAAAGAGGCGCTCGACGGCTCATTTCAAATTGTTTAAATATTGTGAAGTCTTATAAATAAAGTGCTGGCTTCCCGCTCTTCGTGCTATTGCCTGTTGTTTTGACTGCCCGGTTTCGCCTGCTCTGTGACCAGTCGGGGGAGATCACAGCTTCCATGTCTCTTATTAACAAAATACCAACGTCTCTCCGTTGCTTCAATCGTCGAGCCATCTAGAGACCGTTGACCAAAGACTTCACGATGAAAATGCCCGGGTTCAATTTCGACGTCAGCCCTCTTCTCGCTGTGTCGTTGGGGCTTGCAATTGTTCTATACATCACCTACAGCCTCTACCTGGCCGCTCTGCCCAAGCCCATACCCGGAATCCCATACAACAAAGAGTCCGCCAACAGGCTTTCTGGAGACATACCACTTCTAGCAGAGGCGCGATACCGTCGCCGGTGGGCATGGGCCCAGCCTCGCGAGCATGGGGCCCCGTTGTCTCAAATCTTCATGTTTCCTTTCCGCGCTCCGACAGTCGTGGTGTCCGACTACCGCGAAGTCGTCGACATTCTCGCTCGTCGATCCAAGGAGTTTGATAGAGGGACTAGGACTAAGGAGTGTATCGGCTTCGTGGCCCCGAGTTTCCACTTCACGATGGAAACTTCAGATCCGCGGTTCAAATCCAACAAGAAGTTGATTCGCGACCTCATGACGCCAAAGTTTCTTAACAATGTTCGTCTCGAATCAACCCAGAGCTCGTGTATAGATCGCGGACTAACAGTATTGATGTCAGGTCTCGGCGCCTCGGATATATGACAAGGCTCTTGCACTTGTTACCCTATGGAAGCTGAAGGCATCAAAAGCCCACGGAAGGCCATTCTTCGCCACCGAAGACCTCTACTCGGCCACTCTCGACATGATATGCGTCGCCGCCTTTGGCATGGAGAATGCAAAGTCCGCTCTTCGACAGGAGATTGCTCATGTGCAAGCGACCAACCCAACCTTTCCTGACAGCGAAGATGGCCCTGCGGAGTTCCCAAGCGCCCCGACTATCCCTGAGCTGGATGCCCTCTTCGATGGTCCAAAGATGGTGTCGATAGCCCAGGGCAGCCCGTTTCCCTACATTGCGCAGTTCCTCGCTCTGCTCACCCCACAACACGCGCGGGCTCATTGGAACAGGAAGACCTTGATCATGGGACAGATAGATCGGAGTCTGCAGAGACTCATCCAACATGGCGCGGAAGGATGCGAAAGTGCCCTCGACCACCTCTTGTTGCGGGAGATGAATGCTGCGAAAGAAGCTGACCGACTACCGGACTACTACTCCTCTACCATTCGAGATGAGGTAAGTTTGCAACATATAGAGTCTCTTCTGATAAGAAGAAGTGCTGATCCATGGCAGATCCTTGGATATCTTGTTGCCGGTCACGACACCTCAGCCGCCACCCTGTCATGGTGGGTGAAATACATGGCGGCCTACCAGTCCGTCCAAGCTCGACTTCGCGATGCCCTGCGACAGGCTCACTTTGAAGCCTATCGAGACTCTCGGTTCCCAACAATGAAGGAGATTTGCGACTCGCCGGTGCCTTACTTGGACGCCGTCATCGAAGAGACGCTGCGTCACTCCGCCGTGGCGGCACTCATTGTCCGAACAAGCACTTGCGATACCCAAATCCTGGGATACCACATCCCAAAGGGCACAGATATCTTGCTAGCGCTCGCCGGCCCATCCATGACCGAACCAGCTTTGCCCGTGCCCGAATCGGACCGTTCTCCAGAGTCACAAGAGTCTAGAGACCAGATCCCTTATTGGGGAGACGATGTGACCGAGTATAAGCCGGAGCGATGGCTCAAGCAGGTCAAGAATGCGGACGGGAGCGATGAGGAAGTCTTTGACCCGTATGCCGGGCCTACTTTAGCTTTCTCGGCTGGACCTAGGCAATGCTTTGGGAAGAGGCTGGCGTACATGAAGCTGCGGACGGTGATGACCTTGCTGATGTGGAACTTTGAGTTCCAGCCGCTGCTGGAGGAGTTGAACACGCCGGACCTCATTGAGATATTGGTAAACCTGCCGGAAGACTGCTATGTCAAGCTTGCGAAGGCATAGGAAGACGGCGGGTTTGGTGAGCTGCATTTCTTCTGTCATTTTCTAACGTGTACATATTCGCAAGGCCTTGAGCAGCTTATTGGGCACAGGACTTGTAGATTGCATGCATATAAGTAACATTGCTTCTCCTGATAATATTGCCCATGATGCTGATACAAAAGAAATCTAATTACATATAATCTATAACATGAAGCAATGCGTGGCGTCCAACTCTGAACTATGTACCCCTTTCAGCCACAGCCGCCGTCTATTCCCAAGTGCACAATCAAGACAATATCAAGTCTACACCCCCCTTCGCACAGTCTAAGCCAGCGCCACAGCTTCAGCTGCCGTCTCGGCGGCTTCAGCCTCGCGAATCTCCGCCCACCTGTTCAGGAGACTCAGATACGCCTGCCATCCGAGATTGATAATGCCGGCAAACAGGGCTCGGTACTCTAGAGGCACGTAGGACAGGTTGAACGCCATGACAATGGGCCAGATCTTGCAGGAATTGATCCAGCTGGTGAGCAGAGTGTCTCTCACCCGCTGGACAGCGCCGCCGATGCCATCGCCAGAGAGCAGGGCCTGCATGCTGAAGAAGTAGACGTTCATGTACGTGGCGAAGAGGAGCTGGTTCATGACTATCTTGACGCCCAGCGACAGCGCACGAGACTTGTAGTTGAAGCGTGTGGCGAGAAACTTGAACCTACAGGGGTATTAGCTGGCTTGCCTACATGATAGATGTCGCGGATATATAGGGAGCATCTTCTCACCATTCGTATGCCGGAACGGCAGTGCCAGCTCCAATAAAGACATTCCGCACCGTCCTCACGGGATCATAATCGTCGTCACTCATGCTTTGGGCAAGGAGGTCGGCGCTGAAGAAGATGAAGATGGAGCTGATGGTCTGCGTCACATACGGCCTCTTCTTCTGCGATTGTCCATATGCTTGTGCCAGGCGAGTGACGGGGCCCAGCCGCTGCCATAGCGGTACGACTGCGTGCTGGACTGTTGCTGAGACGGGCGCGGTGATACTGCTCGCCGGTGTTTCTCCTGGAATCTTGACTGTACTTTGCGATGTAGTTGGCGATGTGCTTTTAGAAGATTGTGCTGATGATGACTGGGTGCGAAGCTGGTCTCGTGGGCGATGCATCAGCTGGAGCTGTCGCCGCAGGATCGAGCGAAAAGGGGTTGAAGCCATCATTTTGTCGACGAGGAAGCTCTTCTCTACACTTTTTGTCTGTCAGACAAATATTCTATGCTGTATCATGAAGATTTTAAGTTCTATCTCTCGGCTTCCATCCCGTCAGACTGAATCATATCGGTAAACTACTATCAACTTATTAATCCATTACACACGGGTCCATGATAAGGCGCCGGGTGCCGGCTTTCGGAAGAGCCGTTTGTAAGCCGTATTAGGCAATTCCCGGGCCGCGAGGGAAAATAAATACTAGTAGTAGCGACTTTCTGTCTGTGGCTTGGTCGGAAATTGGGCTGAGCAAAAGGCCGGCTCTGTTTGTCTCAAAGGAGGGTTGCTGAGTGGTCAGCAGCAATCTATTTCCCGGCTGTTGATTTCGTATCCTTCTTAGACTATAACATGTACTATATCCCAGGACTTAGTTGTCGAAACTCTCCTCTCAACTCCTTTCACGTTTACAACTGAAATCCCGCCACTTCCTGCATGCCCGGACATGGTTGTCGACAGGCCGCTGTCGGCTGAATAGAGCCACAAGCCCGGAGCGTTGCGGAGGACACAACAAGCTACACTATTTTATGCAGCCTCGACACTATGCATAATCCCCCTCTAGCATGAACATGGACACGTCAAAACGAGTGCAAAAAACCCAGACGAGCTAGGAAGAACTCGCGTATCGACGGGACAATGTCAGGAGCTTTCTCTCACCCCCATGGCGAAAAAAAATAGAGCTTCCCCCCCCTCTCACCGTATAAACGCAGTTTGACTCCCTAGCGCGGAGCTTACAGCAACCAGACGACAACTCGGCGCTGCCCCCCCTTGAACCCAATTGTCTGTTTTGTATTGTTTTGTTTTGTTTTGTCTCTATTCTGTCCTAGGCTTGATCCTGCTGTATCCTGATATATCAAGCAATCAGCCATTCCCGCAATGAGTGACACCAGCCAGATTGAGACGGCCGAGACGACTCGGTCCACGACCCGGTCGACGGCGCCGTCGCTCAATGGCAGCGGCGTGTCGAGCGCCAGCGGCGGGACGAGCCCCGTGGGAAGCGGCGGCAACATGGACGACCTCTGGGTCGCGCTGCCCAAGCCCGCGCAGACGGTGTCGTCCGAGTCGCTGCCAGACCGCGTGCGCCGGATCCGCGTCGACGTGGAGGAGCTCGAGGTCTTCTACAGCGTCTCCGTGTCGCCCGGCCGCCACGAGCGCCTGCGCCGCTACTTCTCGGACGAGCTCAAGGCTCTCTTCAGCCTCGACTTTGAGGCCCTCAGCCAGTCGGACAAGGTCGACTTCCTGCTGCTGCGCAACTTCCTCCGGCGCAAGGCGCACCAGCTGTACGCCCAGAAGGAGGCCAACAAGGAGATCCAGCGGCTGATCCCCTTCGCACAGCTCATCACGGCGCTGTGCGAGGCGCGGCGGGACGTGGACCCCCTGAACAACGAGCGGGTGGCGCAGCAGCTCGACGACATTGCCCGGCTGGTCAACCAGGTGCGCGAGGGCATCGACAACGACCGGCTCAAGATCAGCAAGACGGCGGCGTTCCGGGCGTCCAAGGTGGTGGCGGAGCTGCGCGGGCACCTGGCCGAGTTCCACGCCTTCTACGCCTCGTACGACCCCATGTTCGACTGGTGGGCGACGGCGCCGTGGAAGGCGGCCGACGAGGCCCTGTCGCAGCTCGTGCCGCTCATCCAGGGCAAGCTGGCGGGCATGCACCAGGGCGAGACGGGCGACATCATCGGCGAGCCGCTGGGCCGCGAGGCGCTGCTGGCCGAGCTGGAGGCCGAGATGATCCCCTACACGCCCGAGCAGCTCATCACGCTGGCCAAGGAGCAGTTCCACTACTGCGAGCTGCAGATGAAGGCCGCCTCCGAGGAGCTCGGCTACGGCGACAACTGGAAGAAGGCGCTCGACTCGGTCAAGAAGCACGCGGTGCCGCCCGGCGAGCAGACGGGCTTCGTCAAGAAGCTGGTGCGCGAGGGCGCCGCCTTCGTCAAGGAGCACGACCTGGTGACGGTGCCGCCGCTGGCCGAGGAGGCGTCGCGCATGACCATGATGAGCCCCGACATGCAGCGCGTCGCCCCCTTCTTCCTCGGCGGCCCGCTCATCATGGTGGCCTACCCGACGGCCGAGATGCCGCACGAGCTCAAGAAGATGGTGATGCGCGGCAACAACCGCCACTTTGCGCGCGCGACGGCCTTCCACGAGATGATCCCCGGCCACCGCCTGCAGCTCTTCATGAGCGAGCGCCACAACAGCCACCGCCAGCTCTTCAGCACGCCCTTCAGCATCGAGGGCTGGGCCATGTACTGGGAGTACGTCTTCTGGGAGCGCGGCGACTTCTTCGAGTCGGCCGAGGACCGCATCGGCGCCATGTTCTGGCGCATGCACCGCTGCGCCCGCATCGTCTTCTCCGTCAAGTTCCACCTCGGCCTCATGTCGCCCCAGGAGTGCATCGACCTGCTCGTCGAATGGGTCGGCCACGAGCGCTCCACCGCCGAGGCCGAGGTCCGCCGCTCCTTCAACGGCGACTACGGGCCGCTCTACCAGGCCGGCTACATGCTCGGCGCCCTGCAGCTGTTTGAGCTGCGCCGCGAGATCCTCGAGGGCGGCCACATGACGGAGAAGGAGTACAACGACGCCTTTCTCAAGGCCAACTACATGCCCATCGAGCTGTTCCGAGCCTTGGTCCTGGGTCTGGAGCTGCATCCGGACTACACGCCCAACTGGAAGTTTGCCAAGTAAGGGAGGGAGGGGAGAAGAAGAGAAAGACCAGGAGAGCGCACATCACATATTCCCCCCCTTTTCCTTGACGCTCCTGAAGGGGGGAGTGACGTGGTGGTATGGATGAGAAGGAAAAGGTTGGCATTCGTTTGGAGATTCGGCATTCATTCATTTGGAAAGCGGCATTCGTTTTGGAAACTGGCATTCGTTTGGTTCATCTCATGATTTTTTTTTTTGCTTTTTTTGTTTTAGGCGTGGGTTTCTTTGCTTCCTTCTCGGGAGGGCTTCTACCGTCAATGACTCTACGCATCTGCTCTTGGCTCCTGTTCAGCACCTCCTCTTTTTTTCTTTTTCATATACTACAAGCCGCATAGCGAGACGATGATCTATATAGTTGCTTTCTTGTAAGGTATCTGATGTTATATGATAGATGAAATATGATGAAAGATTTGATGTCTTTATTATACTCGTTTGCATCTACCTCATGGTGTTTTGTCTGCTATGACCTGCTTCACCAGCAGTTGAATTGAGGAAGCTCTGACTCAAGCGCAAGACTCGCTGCAGCTCTCCCTTCATTGAATCCATAGCATCCTTTGCGTTCTTCCTTTCTTCTTCGATCACGACTTCCAGCTCCGCGATGATGGCACTCTGAGCTGTGAGCGACTCGTGGCTCAGCTGTTGCTGAACGGCATGCGCATACGTCGAGTCCTGCCAGTTTCTCTCCATCCTCTCCACCACTTTCTCAAGCTCGGCGATGACAGACGCCCGGGAATCGAGCTCCTTGCGTAACGACTGCTCAATCTCATGATACTCGTCGATAGCATCTTCGTCTTCCCTAGACTTCTTCGTCAAGGCCCTCAACCGCGTCAACAGCAGATCGAGCACCTCTGCGCCACGAGGACGACTAAGCGGCAGCGTCACCTCGCCTGGCGGCGTGAGATAGACAAATTCAAGAAGAGCATCCCGAAATCCAGCCGCGACTGACGCAATCATCTCGCTCGCATCATTACCGGGGAAGCCCAGCTCGCCAATGGCAGACGTGAGTTGTGTAGCCGCAGCCGCTCGGTCGGACACGGTTTGCACGAGCAGCTGGACCTGCTTCTCTATTCCCTCAGAGGAAGAGACGGCTTTTCTCTTGACAGAGCCATTCGATAGCGTTTTGCCGATTCGTCCACATAGCGCAGTGTACGAGTCCAGAGTTGCCGTCAATTGTTGTACTTTGCACTGCAAGGACTCGATCTCTTCTTCCAACTGCTCCGTCTCTGGCTCTCGGAATTCCATATGTGGATGGCGAGAGGACGGCGACGGGGAGGCTTCCCTGTAGCATGGAGATGCAGCCACAGTCGGACTTGTCGGAGGCGGAGTCAAGAAGGATGACCTTGCTCTTCTCGACGGGCTCGTCTTTACCCGCACGACAGCCTCGTTGCCGCCGAATCGTGGCTCGTCTACCGTCATATCCATCTCATCGTCTCTCGCTACCTCAATCGACGGCTCCGCCCAGCTATAGTACTGAGTGGCTTCTTCCTCTTTTTTAACCAGGCTCCTCTTCGCAAGCTCGCCCTTGAGCTTGCGAACCTGCTGCTCCAGGCCCCATATCCGCTCCGTGTCCATGACCACAGTTGCATTCTGCAGCTCATAAATCTCCCTGTCTCGCGCCCTGACCTCGGCCCTGAGCCTGTCGATCTGCGTCTGCGCCGACTGCTCTGTGCGCCGCTTCTCCTGCTCCATCCTGTGGAGCATGTCCCGGAGGCCATTGCGCCGTATGCGACGCTCCACGCGGCCGTCAATGGTCTGGTGAAGATTGAGGTCACCGCCGCCGCCGCCGCCGCCGCCGCCCGCGTCCGATTGCCTCTTTGTTCGTGGAGTCGTTGGGCTGCTGGGCGTGATGTTGACGAGCCGTCGACCTTTTGGCGTTTCGGCAAGGTATGTGCGGCGAACCATTGGCGTGAGACCGCTTGAGATGGAGGAGGGGCCGGGATCAGAACAGCAGAAGCGGCTCTTTCTCCTGTGAGGAGTCATGGGAGGTGAGGGCATGGCGGCTGGAGGGGATGCCGATTTCGCATTTACGCGCCGGCTGCGACGCAACGCAATGGGAGTGTCCTGGTCTCGCATGTTGAGATTCGCGTACAGAGAATTGGTATACTGATGTTTGGTATCTTTTGCACTCGAGCTCTTTGCTCTCTTGATCGACGAGTTCAATGCAGTATGTGATTGGGTCAGGACGAAGTGAGGGGGTGTATGCCAGCTTATACCCGATGAGGAGGACCAAACATGGATGTTTTGATCAAATGTCAACTCCGGCATTGATAAACAGCCCACATGGATACATACATACATATCTCTATCGGCACAAAACAAACATCCCACACAATGACCTAAACCGCGTCAGAGACATTTTCCCCTCTCCCTCCCTTCAACCGTGTTTCGCGCATATGTAGATACTAGTAGTACTAGTAGTTGCGTGTAGCCCTTGCAGCAAACGATGAACCCCCTTTTTGTTTACTTTTTGCCTGCTGGGGTTTAGCGCCCGGGCTGATACGGAGTGCAACGGCCCCACTGGCTCCGGGGAAGCATTGAAGTGCCTCATTGTCAAGGGGGAGAGCAGCGCGTTGTTGGTGTGGGGGACACGATACTAGATTGACATGTGAATCATACAATGAATAGGTAGTATTGGGCCTCAAACAAGACTAATTAGGCGTCTTGTTATTCTTGTACTGGCACGTCATACTACTCCATGCTGGTACTGCTGTTGCCAATAACAAGAACGCACATTACACACCACAACAAAACAGACCAACAAAAGTCAAGTCTACAATCACACAGTTACATGTACGTAGTAGTATATGAAAAGCAAAACATCCATCGACTCTATGAATCAGTCTCAGAAATGGTCGTGTTGACAATTCCGTCAAGCCTCCACTGCCACCCATCATCATCCAGCCGAAACACCACAACATTGCTTCCAGACTTTGCATACACCGTCCTATTCCCATTCGTCGCAAGGCTGTCAAACTTCACATCGCCGTGGAATCCGTCCCCAGAGACCCTCTCGACATCAACCCCCACACGGCTTTCTTGGATGCTTCCTCGCGAGTCTGCGTACAGGAGCGCGAACTCGTACGGCAGCGTCTGCGCCGGTGCTTTGCCTTGGCCGTGGCCGGTGCGGATCCAGGCCAGTTGGTTCGTCCGAGAAGATGGAGATATCCCCTCTCCCTTGGAATCTAGATTGCACGGTATGGTATTAGCACCACGGATGAAATCTTGATGGATTATGGCAAGATCATGTTCTGTTGGCCTACCAAGGAAAATCTTGTCCAATACGTGACACTCAACCTGCTTTGTTGAAGAAGCGTGAAAGTCCACCGAACACTCCCAAGGCATAATCTCCCCTTCCTTCTCCACGGCCAACAAGAGCCCGCTAAACGATCCATCAGACTCTTGTCTCTTATTTTGCCAGTCGCCAGCAATGGCATGGCCGATTCCTCCCCAGTCTCCAGCCTCGTGGCGTCCTGCAAAGGAACTGAAATCGACGACATGCCAATCGGTCTTCCTCGCTTCTTCGGACATTGCGAGCTGCAACTTGCCGTCCGGGTCCTGGTAGGAAAGCACCACTACATTGGTATCATGCTCTCCCTGGTGGAACGCTGCCGAGAGCTTCGATTTCTCATGGGCAGTCATACGATTGGTTCCAGTGGACAGGCCTCCGACTTTCCAGCTGCCGCCTGAAGTCATGAAGACGTGGGACACCACACTGCGCTCATCGAGATAGAACAAATGAACGATATCGGCATCATCCACCACGGCGGCCATGGGAGTCCCATATTTCGCTGTTGCGGCGTCTTGAAGCACATCTCGGATCCGTCCAAGGCCCTTTCGCTCAGAGTCCCCGTCCGTGTAAGCCAGAGATCCCGCTCCGTCCTGCCAGACGAGAATCCCCCAACTATCCCTGCTATCACGCTGGTCAACAAACGCCGAAGCAAGGTCCGAAGAGGAAAGGATCGGTGCAACTGGTCTTGCAGAGGGTGAAGCCGTAGAGTTGGTAGCAGCTGTCACGGATGGCAGTCCACTCACCGTCGTGGGAAGTGGCACCAAAGAGTTGCCCGTCGCCGTTGCCAAAATCGCACTCTCTTGTAAGAAGGTTGTAGAGTACGTGGCCATGGTCAGCGCCGACTGCGTGACGGTCTCCGTGGGATGTGCCTTCATCATGAGAAACGACTTTCGGGTCAATGTCACCGCCAGCATTACGCAGCTGAGCAGCGTCGAGATGATCGTCATGGCGATGGCAAACGGCAACATGCGCTTCCGATAGTACCAGGGCCGCTGAACAGGATCTCGGTGCAGCTGGTAGTACTGCTCGCGAGCGGTATGTGGCTGTTGGTCTTCCATGGATCGCGTGGCTCTGGGAGCGCGAGGTGGAATAGGAGGCGGCTCACGACCAGCGGCGGCATTAGCAGCCTGTCGATCCCGCTGTACGAAATAAGCAACGTCGAATATGGGCATCATGGTTGAGGATGATGTTTTGGAGGTAGGGAAGGTTTGAGTAGGTGGTGCTCCTTTCAAATCAAAGGGGAATCAGCTGTTGGGTGCTCGCTCATTTATGTACAGATAGAGTGCGTCTGGATGATGAGCGTTTGAGCTGGCAGCAACAAGCAAAGGCTCCATCATGCTTGATGATTGTTGCTAAAGAGTCATCTGTCTGAAGACAGTACTGAAAGCGCAAGTCACAAAGCCCCCATTGACAGCTCACTATCACATATTCTGCCTCCTTTTTGAGACTGATTGGCCTTCCTGTCAAATAATGAGCGTGACGAGCGTTCTCATGGTACATGTACCAAATGCATACGGATTGATTAGAGAGCAACTGTGATGATGGTCACTGGACAGTGTGTGCAGCCCATCTGGTGTTGACGTCGTATGTGTTGTACGATGACTTGTAGCTTGCCATTGGCCACCAGCTTTGTTTGTATTTGGCTATGGTATCAGGTGTCGTGATGATGGCACAATGGGTTATTCAACCCAGGAAATTGGTGATGAATGTAGCAAAGAATGGGACAGAAGCCTTTGGTGGGTGCTTTGCAGGGTTCATCTCATTTGATAATGACCCTGTATGATTCCCTGTACTCACTTATATTTGTCGTTGACCTTGTCAATGTTTGTATACCATCCTCTCTAACGATGAAGATGACGAGCACATCCGCAATATAGCAGCATTCTTGAAGCTGTAGGTTAGTATCGGCCTGACGCCAAGTGCTTACACGAAGAAGAGGATCATGGCTGCATTCACAGCAATGTTTCCGTTGCTTGCGAATGAAGTTGCACTAGTGAATCACAGAGATTTGCGAGATCTCAGTCTCATAGAATATTGATAGACGTCGAGCTGCACGCTTTGAGAAGAGGGCTGAGGATGGATCAACTTCAATGAGGAGGACATGGACACTGAATCGTGGTGACTCATCCAGAGCCTCAAATGTCCGCTAAAGCGTTGACTGTCCTGGTACTCTGGGGATACTAGGATATCGTAGGAGGAGCTTTACGATGTACTTGTGGAAATGAAGCTACAGCAGCATGAATGAAAGTTTTCACTATCAAGCTGCTAACTGCCTAGAGGTACTGTAGTACTCTCTTGCGGTGGCTCACGATTAGATTCTCAATCCAGCCTGCTCCCAGGACAACCTAACTTTAGGGGCGACTAGCGGGCGGCCAAGGCTCTACAGCGCCCACCTCCGCTAACGGTTGGGCGGATTAGTGCCTGTATTACCGAATGCACGCCGTCCACCAGACGGGACTCGTATCGATGAACTCACCAGATCCTCCGGGCTACCACCGATCCAATCTCACCAGCTTATCGACCCCTTCATCACGACATATCGCCTCACTTGCTTCTCTTCCCTCAACACACATCACATACCCAAACCGCAATCAGTCGGCAGGAAGATGACGCTGCCTTCAGGTGCCGAATAGAGCCTGTCCACCTGCACAGAGAGCAATGTCGCCATGGCCGCGCCCGCACTCAGAGTCAAGTTCGTCGCGTCGGATCCCGCCCGCGGCGGTTTGCCCGTGAAGCGCAGGCAAGTTCACCAAGCCTGTGACTCGTGCAGGCGGAAGAAGGTACCGTGATCCTGATCCCATGAGGACTCCTGCCGCTGCCCTGGAGTTTGCTGACCGTCGCCGTCCGGCTGAAGCGCAAATGCAACCATGCGGAAGACGCCATGGCTGATGACGCCTCATTCAACGACCACAAAGGCCCCCTGGGGGCTTCATCATCTCAGTCCTCGTGAGGCCTCAGCCCCCGACTGCGCGACCTGCGTGTTTGGGAAAAAAACTGCGCTGACACTTGTTGAGCCAAAGACCTGCAGCTTCGATATCCTCTCTCGCCCCTTCAGCCCGCTCGCGGCCGCTTGCCGGGGAAGAATCTGTGTCGCCAGCAGTGAGAGGTCGTCTCAGCACCAATCCGCCACCCCCCTTGCGGCGTCCTCTCCCAACGGCCTACAGCAATGGCCGAGCTCCAGCAAACGGCACGCCTGATGCCGTCGCTCGGCCGCAGTCGTCACGCTTTGTAGGCGATCTGAATCCCGAGGGCATGTTCATGGAGGCGGCCGTCCCCAACGTGACTCGCGCCTCTTCGCAAAAAGGAGACGTGGGCATCTGGTTCCCCTCAACCACCACCGGTCAGCCGTCGCAGTTCATCACGTCGCGGCCTCCGCCCGTCATGGATGGCTTCATGCTCCCTTTTGTGAGGGAGCACTGCCTGACCTGCTTGCCCCCTGACGCGGACTATGTGCGACTCAAAAGGGTGTTTTTGCAAAAGGTCCATCCCATCTTTCCCGTCATCCCAATAGCCGCCCTCGACGGGCCGACAGACAATCCCGCCAACATTGTGCTACGGCAACTTGCTTGTCTGGCAGCCGGTGCTGATCCAGACATGACTCCGTTTCTGCGTCTGAACAACAAAGGCCCCAACCCACTACGGCCCGCAGACTTCTCCAGCACGTTATCATCCTCAGTCCGCGCCATCCTGGAAACCAGCATTATCCCCGACAGGGTCGTACATATACAAGCACTGACTATGCTGTCCCTATACACACAGCCCACCTGCGCTGAGGAGTCCGACTTGCCGGCCCAGCTTGGTGGTAGGGCGATTCATCACATCCAGACCTTGGGATTACACCTGTTGAGATATGACGGACCCAATTTCAGCGACTTGGAAAATCTCTTTTGCGCAGTTTGGGCTCTTGATAGAATTAACGCCGCCATGTATGGACGGCCTTGTCTGATCCACGAAAGGGATATAGGAGCCGATCTCGACGCATGCATCAGAAAGCGCGAGCCTGCCTTCCGGCTTCTGCTGTCTGTGGCACAGTGGCTAGACAAGGTGGTGGAGCTGTATCGTCCCGGTCCGAGTGCCCAAGTCTCTGGCTTCGACAAGATTGCATACATTGATCTCCCCGTTCTTGAAGCAATGATTGTGGACGCAGACGCGCTTAAGGTCCCAACGTCACTCATTGGTAAGCTCTCCAAAAACATACGGTTTTGTATTGACCGTGACTCCTGACAAGTTCGCCAGCTACTATTGAGACATTTTATCATGCCGTCATCATCCTGTCGTGCCGGCTGCCTCGGCCAGGAACAAGAATTGCAGCCTCGACATTACCGCCACCGTCTGCCAACGCCCGCCGTTCATTAGCAGCCGAGCGTATCGCATGTGCAGTACCGAGGGACTGCCTGAGCTCTTTTCCGTTTATTCCCTACGCAGTATCCCTCGCCTTGAGCGTCGAGTACCGGAAGATGAGGCACAGCCGGTTGCCAATGTTCCGCGCGCGAGCTATGAGCGCCTTCAAAAGGAACTGTGACCTCCTCCGAACCTATGGGGACCATTACTGGAGTGCCGGAGTTGTTGCCGGGCTTGGAGAGCGCGTTCTGAGGGAGATGGAGCGCGCGGCCAACACACTGGCCAAAGACCTGAGCCCTCAACCTGCTGAAGTACAGCCGAAGCCCCTCCCGAAGAACTATGATAGCTCAACTCCACAAGATGCAGGACCGACGCCATCAGGCGACGCGCCTCCTATGAACTCCACCATGGGCTTTGATAACGTCTTAGACTTTTCGGTCATCGAGGCGATTTCCGGACAGGACGTGTTTGGGCACATTGACCCCAGCTTCAACCTCGACGCAGTGGAAGATGCCTTGGAGGCGAACCTCGACATTGGTCTCCCGCCTAATTGGGGAGACTGGGGGCAGTTTGCTACCTGAACATGGGACTACGAGCAATCGAAGAGGAGAGATCACACCTGATGGGAAGAATCATATGGGTTTCGTTTTAAGGAGTTTGACATAGAGGACTGGATAGCGACTCGTTTGCCGCACGTATCTAGGATAATTGAGCATATCAAATCTGCCCCCAATGCTTTATGTACAATTCTGCAGAAGTATGCATGGGCTGTTTGGAATTTTTCTCACTGCTATCGATGGGCATCATTCCAAGACAAAAAGAGAAGTCGAGAAAAACAAGAAATTGATGAAAAAAAATATTGAAACTCCGATACTGGGAATCGAACCCAGGGCTGCTCGGCACTCGAAGGATGAGAGCGAGCGATGTTAGCCACTACACCATATCGGATTGCTTTGTTGATGAACGTTGCTCTAATAAGCTCTATAGAGTCAGCTCTTTGACGCTAGAGAGTATTCAACCCCGGGCAACTTCGTCTGCAGATATCCATGACACCGCGACTATCACCAACTACTACTAGTAGGTACTAGAGTACACATCGATATTGAAGTGCGAGGCTAAATCGGGTCTGCACAAGTATAAACATGCAAAGAGCGATGGCCGTGAATCTTATTTGGGTAGATACTGTAGGCCTGAAAACGACTGCAACGCGGCATATGTCGCTTAGGTGCAGAACAAGATTCCGAGCAATCGTACAGATTGACTGTTCTTGACAGTCTTGGTATGAAGCATCATCATCATAGAGCATATCAACATTGGCTTCTCTCCCATATCATGACATTCATGGACTCGAGCAGCACGCAGCAACTAGGCACCCGCGTGCTACCAGATCAGTGATGCCTTTGTGAAGTAGCCATACTGCCAAGTAGATAGGTAAAGCGTAGTTATGCCTGTTTTTGCTGCAACCCATCGTCAAGACAATATGCGCTGAACGGCAGCACGATGCATAGCCGATTGAACTCAGCCCGGCGACTCTGGCTCGAAGATGGGCCAATACCCATGCGATGCGCAAGGGGGGCGATTGCCGGCATGTCGGCATCTGGTTTCGTATACCCTGAGCTCATGGAGACTCCGAATCCGAGGAGATGTGGTGCGCAGGAAAGTCCCTTTTGCCGAAACCTGTTATCTCGACTCCTTCGTTCGCCCAAGTAGACTACCGTCGCAGGTCGGGGCAGTGGTAGTAGCGGACAAGAACTTTCGTTTTCGAAATCCCGAGTCGCAGGGCTGCTTCACTTCGTCGGCGGCTTATCGGAGATGTCGCTCGGTTTCCCACGAGCCTGGTTCTTCAGCTCGTTCAGGAAATGTTTAAAGAATCCGTCGGCTCGGCCACCGGGATTTGGATCGGCTGCATTTTCTCGTCAGCCTCTTTTCTCCTCGGGACTTTGCACCTCTCTACCCTCGTTTCGTAGCGGCAGCGGGGAGCGGCAGCAGCCCCTTGCCTTGCATCCTTACCTGTAGCTTCGCCGGGCGCAAGCGGCTCGTGCGGATTGCGGCCATGCTGTTTCTCGTGGATGGCGCGATGGATGCGGCCGACGGCTCGGTGGAAGCCTGGCTGGCGGAGGATCTGGAAGCTGTGTGTGAGCGACTGACTGACCGTTGGGGTTAGAAACTCCTGTGTCCGGGGGAAAACGTACAGATTCGATAATTCGGTCTTCAAAGGCCTGGATGACCCGGAGCGCATACCAGTATGGCGACATGGTGTTTGTGACGAGCCCGTACGTGGAGCCTTGGTTGGCGGGGGAAGAGGTTGGGAAGAGGCAAAGATTAATAAGGTTGTAGGTAGGTAGGTAATAATCGGAGAAAAAACGACTGGTGTAAACTTGTCGCGGGATGATGCTGAGGTAAAGCTGCATGGACTTAACTCTCTCGGGCGCATCCTTCAACGTCACGTCTTTATCATTTTCACATGTGCAATACCAGATCCGAAGTTTAATTGTATGAAGCAATTGCAATCAATTAATTGATATTGTCTATCAGTTGCTCTATGCTTATGCGTCTTCGTCTCTCCCTCTAGGAGTAAAACTGTTGGGTATAGGGTCAATCATTCCAATGCGCTCTCCTTCAAAAACAAACTCAAACTATGCACCAGTCCTGTAGTTGTCTGCGCCTTGACGATTCTTTCAACGATGATTATTCGCGATCCTCTCTCCAATAACATTAACCATCAACATTCATTCGTTTAGACCTTGTTGGTGAGGAAGTCGCCGATGAAGGGCGTGAGGTAGTCCTTCTTGCCCAGGGGCACGCCCTCCTTGCGCAGAATGTTGTAGGCGGTGGAGAGGTGGAAGAAGATGTTGGGAAGAACATATCCGTTGGCGTAGTTGCCGCCGGTCATGGCGAAAGTGCCCAAAGAGCCCATGCCGACGTTAACAAGCTCGTTCTGGCGCTGGTTGACGACGTCCTTGCTGGCAGCAGCGAGGATCTCCTCAGCCTTGGCGATGCGGGCGTAGCAGTCGGCGTACGTCTCGATTTCGCCCTCCCAGGCGTGAGGCTCGGTGCCGGTCAGACGGGCAGCGAGCTTGGTCGTGGTGTCGGTGACCATCTTGACCTGGAAGGTCAGAGGCAGCATGTCGGGGTGGATGCGGGCGGACAGGAGGCTGGCACCGTTGGGAGCAGCCTCGCCCAGCTTGAGGATGTTGGTGAGCGCCTTGAGGGCGTTCTGGGCCAGAGGGATGGTGGCGTCGTAGAGAGAGTAGCTCATGATGGGCGATTGGTGGTTGTGTTGGTGTTGGTGGTTGAAGGTGGTTCGGTTGCGAAAGAGCGGTTGCTTTGGAGATGCTTGCGAGTGTGTAGAGGATGTTCGATGTCTTTGGATATGGCACTGGAATCTGGCAAGAGAGGGGGAATGCGCTCGGGTATATATAGACGAGAATCTGGAGATCTGGATATATCTGGCACCTTCTGCAATTCTACTCGTATATCCTCCACCTGCCATAGTGTTCATGCGTATGGCCCAGTTGCGCTTGCCAGAACCACTCGTACGAGTACTACCACCGTATCAAGCCCTTTCCTTGTGCAAGTGCACAGCTGCCCAGATGCTCCTTCTCCGCCGCCGTCTCTGTCTCCATCTTCGAATTCCGTCATGATTTCCGAACTCCGCTTCCTCTTTCAACTTCATCCCACATTCACGGAGCCAATGACTGTTGCTCCTAACCAACTGCCTCTTCGCACCCGCAAACGAGCCGAATCATGACCCCTGCTTTCTCCTGTCTCTCCCTACTGTCCCCACGGAGAGGCTTCTTTACCTAACTAGAGCCGAGTAGCTGTTTCGATGGCCCGCAAGGAGAATCGCTAGCTAACCTCTGGATTACTAATTAGAATCGAATCGAATCAGCCGCCCCGTCAAATCAAGCGAGATGCCAATCGCATACAACACGATTCAATGCGGTGGATCGCAGACAAGACGTTGTTGCATGAAAAGCAGTTCGTGTGCCTTGACTTCACGGCTCGCGGGCTGCCGAGCCAGTGCGAGGCGAGGCCGACGACCCGAAGAGGGGGCGGGAAAATCTGGCCAGATGGCCATCTGGAACTTTCGCACTGGAGGGCCAATCAAGCATGGAAAGCCGCCAAGCAACGAATGACTTTGGTTCTCCGCACTCCTTGAACTGATTTGTCGTCTCTTTTCTCCCTTCTCTTTGCTGCCACTTCCCAAATTAGGCATTGCGGCTATAGCAAACACGCTCGGCACTCGGCCGCTCTGTCAGCACCGTATTACCACCTTGATCGACGCTTGACTAATGGCCCGTCGCAACGAATAGGGGCGTCGTCCAATGCCATCTCTCGGCGACAAGCCGAAGGATTCAGAGTGTTACACCAACAGGATCCAAAGCACTCTGGTTACCAAGCAGATTATATATCAAACTGATGAGGACGTTAGCAGACTCTTCTCAGCCTCAACAGACGGGTGCTAGACCTCGATCCAGAGCCTTGGCTGACATTCTATTAACAAACAACCACCGTTTTTGAAACACCACCGAGCCGTCTCTCGTCAGCACCTCGGTTTCACTCATGAGCAAGTGAAGATCAAATCAACTTGACATATATCCTATCAAGCAACGGCGCTACTGGATGCGAGGTATCACGAATGACTCCGAGATGAGATGCGGTCTCATCCTCCCCTTGCCTGCCCTCGCTTTCAGACGGCAAATCAAACTCCTCCAGTGGTCTCAAAATGTACCAGCAAATAAAGAGCCTCCGAGACAATATGAGAACAGCAGAACTACCCTCAATGCAGTCCCAAGGTCGCATTGAACCTCTCCACCACGGCTCTCGCTCCGGGCATAGCTGAGTTATCTATGACCAGCTCCTCTAACCCCATTGCTCGTCGGCCCTCGGTATTTGTCCATTGCCATACCATCTCTTCGGTCGGGCGGTCGATGTGTTTTGACTCTCCTTCGCCGCCGGGGAAATCCGGTCCCGGTGTGCCTTCTCGGAAAGCCTGGCGCTGCCTGAGAAGATATTCTGCGTTGAGGTCCGTCACTGGACATACGGGGATGTAGAGAACACTTGAATCAGCTTGTCCCTTGTGAACCTTGTCGACGGCGTGAATGGCTATAAGGCAGAAAAGTCAGCGTCTTGCACAAAGTGAGACCTACGAAGAACCCCAATCAGGAGCTTGGAATGAAGACTTACTGTCACAATGCCATGCCACAAAAGCCCCGGGTTTGATCTCGGGCACATGGGTCATGGTCCTTGAAAGCTCCAAGTGAGGATGAAGCTCATCGTTCAGCTCTTGCCCGTGTCCTGGGTGAGCTCCTTGGAGGTCGCTGGTCATCTGATCACCAGCAGTGAACTCCCAGTTCTTCTCGTCCAGGAACGCACGCCCCTTCTTCGAGGTGTCAATTGGTCTAAAGAAAGGCCTCAGAAGGGTGTAGGCAGTTGACATCATCAGGGGGTACGTTAAAAGCGTGCCCTCCTCTGGCCCTACCCGGCTCATGGAGACCCAGCCTTGCCAAGCTCTAAAGGCACTGCATGCGCCCAGGCCGTTGTACAGGTTGTTGACGGCATCTACTCTGGCGGCAGCATCCCAGGCATCGTACTGTTCCCATCTGCCTTCAAACACTCTGTCATAGACATGGCCACGGCCATATCCGTCCTTCTCCCATCGCTCGACGCTGCCGCCGTCAATGTGAGGGCCGAGTGCAAAGGCCGCATCGCCTGGCTGGCGGATACGGAGCCTATCGGCATAAGACAGCGGTACGTCAAGGGAGATGCGAGCATTGACTGATGGCGACCACCAGAACTCTGACATGAGAAACCTTTGCAGTTTCAACATGGAAGGATGTGAGCGGGCCTTGATCTGCGACTCGGACCAATACAGCTCATACACCTGCGGATCGTGAGGCGGGAAGGCTATCTTGGACGTCAGTTCCAACCAGTATCCATATCTCTTTGCTCGCCACCTTACCTCTTGTCTGTGGGTTTTTCTTGACATATTCTTCGATGCAAGTCTTGTATCCCCGCGCTTCCTGCTCTGGGATTACATCATGCACGACCACCACACCCCTCTTCAAAATCTCCCCCTTGACTCTCCTCTCCAGCCCATTGTCAAGGTCAGCAAAGTTGATCTGCGGAATGACTTCTGGACCTTTTCGTGCAATGATCTCGTTCTCCTTCTGCAGCCCATGCAACAGCCTCTGCCAGCTGAGGACGATGTCCTTCTCCCGCCCCCTGACCAGCTCCAGCTTGAGCTGTCTGAAGCGATCCGGCAGCGGCGCCTGTTCCGCTCCGGAAAGCGAAACAAACGAGTCCGAGATATCGCCCTGCCTCTTGGGCGCCGGATTTGGGGTCTGCACCGTCGCGAGGCAGCGGCGCAGGGCGGGCGAGGCTTTCGTGAAGCGTGAGCGCAGCATGTTGGTGTTCTGCAGTGAGGTTTTCAGCCGCGAAGACAGATACGTGTACAACCGTCAGCACAAAGCAACCATAGGAGACCACGCACAACTCTGGATCAAAGAATAATCGAAAATCGTCCCCCGAAGGAAGATAAGCATCAAGACTATTTATGTCAACGACTTAAGAGGCGCACGGGGCTGCTGTTTTGGGACGGTCCGCGCCCCGCCTCAGCCACGTAAACTTTATCCTCCGACACCAGATGACAATTAGTCGCTGTCGTTGGGACCTTTGTTTTTTATCTTTGATCTTGGCCTGATCGAGATTGTCAGATGCCCAGGGGCAGCGGAATGAGGTGTTGTGGTATTGGGCGGCTGAGACATTGTTTGAGATGCCTATGAAACCTGATATCCACAGCAAAACGAGCCGTGTCCTTCAGTTCGCCCAACACAAGCAAGCTTCCGAGTCACTACCACGCTGGAATCAGCCTTTTACCCCCAATGAACTTTCTCTTTCAGCTTGCAACTCTAACTCACAACTGTTGGAACGTTGCAAAACGATGGATATCATTAGCCAGTGTCAGCCACGACGGAGTGTCCCGCAATGGAGGTGATACCGCCCCCCTTTTTTCTCATCCTTCCACAGGCACCATACCAATGACCGTGTAACAAAGCCTTCCGTCCGGCCGACGCGGCTTCCTCCAACTTCTGATCACATGAGTGCTTCCTCCAAGCCCGAAGCCCGAGGCTCATCAGAGCAGTCAGAGAGGGAGGGGAGAAAAAAGGAAGGCATTCCGCAAGGGGGCGCTACGAAATATGACGAGCTGCCAACTTTTACATGGCGTGATTTGTGTAAGTCCATTGGCTTCCCTCCAAAAAGCTACACCAGAAGCACGAAGAGGACCTGCCTCATAGTCTATCTATACCTTAGGACGAGGCCACCTGGTCACATGGCGACAGCTGATGGCCCGTCTTGCCAGACAGGCTGATATAGGCTAAAGAGTATGAGGTTCCATTCGTTCGGCGATGAGATTTTAGAAGCTCGATGCTCCTGCCTGTAGCCAACATTGACTCCGGCCAGAGGGAGAGCGGCTGCTACCCCAATGGCTGGTATTCGTTCTGATTTCGGCAGATGTGCCAGGGAGGGTAGGTTTTCAGCTCAGCTACGGTGTACGATCCGGATGGTTTGTCATGTCACGTCTTTCAGACTTGAAGACGCTGCGAAATCTTGATTCCATAATGAAGTGGAAGGATACATGAAGCCATAGAGCACTGGATATCACGATAAGAACAACTTCTCCAGTCGTGATACTATTTCTCCGTCCGAGCGATCTACACTCGTCCTTCTCAAAACAGCCTCAGCCCAACATCTATATCCCCCAACTGCAAACCTTTACCAACAGACTCCAATCAAGGCCAGATATTCAATCTTATCTCGAGTCTCTGAGCCAAGCATCTCCTCCAATGAAAGACGCATCACTGTAACAGAAAGTCTGTACTCTGTACATCGTCGTAGCTCTGCCTATCTTACACTTATTCATCCCACACGGCAAAACTAAGCGTCTATAGCAGGGGAATATCGGAGTAATTCCCACAACCCCGGCATGTCCCCTTTAGGCAAATCCGCTTCCCTCCCCCATTTCCCCCACACCCCAAGTTCCAAGTCACGCTTCCCCCGATCATCATTTCGTTCCCCCTCTTCCCCCGGGGAACTGTCTTGCCTTGTCGTCTAAAACGGACGCCATTCCGTGATCTTGTTTTTGGATATTATAGGCTAATCGCTTTTTATCAATCTGTTATCATGAGTGAACCTCGGTCGTTATTTGTACAGATCCATGTTTCTATGTTCTGGCTCTCTGACTTTCTCCATAGAAAACAAGATAGTAGTCTGTCTCACTTACACGCATCACATCTCCGGCTCCCCTGTATCTACTCATCCTAATCCTCACTACACAGGCACACCAAAAGACACCAGGATGTAGCATACCTAGTATTCAATGATCGTCATGGGAACATTTACCAGCCCAAGTATTATCCTGAGTAATAGCCAAAGAGTACCCATTCAGAAAGGGCAGAAGATGGACAGACGCCCGAATTATCTCATTAATAAACAAGGAGTTTAACCAACCAGCACGAAATGCAAAGCTCCGCATGTTATTGTATGCACGACTACTTCATGTCAACCATTTCCAACCCTCGTCTTTCTTTCTTCTGTGCTCTGCTCTGCTAACTGCTACTCCTTCTGCTTTCCCTCTCCTTTCCTTTTTTTCTTCCAAGTGCTCAAACATAGACCAAACTAGCCCTGTCCTGACTGCTGAAAGAAATCCAACGATACCCAGAAAAAGAATAAAGTGTAGAGGGGAATTGCATGGGGTAGATGAAGAAAGAAAAAACAAAAAAGAGGCAAGATGAAAGAACAGAAAAGCCTGGCCCAGCCGAAAACGAAAGCAGAATCAAGCCGCCACCAGCCTCGTGTCCTTTTTCCCCCTTTTTTTTTCGAATTTCTTGCATAATAAAGCCCCCTCCCAATGTTGCATCCCTAAACAAAGTAGTTATCGTGTCCGTACACCGATTCCTCTCTACTCTCCAAGGCATAACAGGTATCCGTAATGTACAAACAAAGATAGGCGCTCACGTTAAAATGAAATAGAATGAAGTTGTATGATGTCAAAAGAGGACGGATGGATGAAGAAGAAAGCGGAAAGAAAAAAGAAGCAAGAAATCGCTCCAGACAGCTTTTAGTCGGTGTCGGCGTTTGCGCGCCTCACCTTCTCTCTCAGATCACGGTTTTCGTTCTCGAGACCGCCGAGCCGTTGCCTTGCCGCCTGCCTGTCCTGGTTGCGCCCTTCTCGCTCCATCTTCAGCTTGTACTCCATATCCCGGAGCCGCAGCAGCCAGCGATTGTCGTTGGCCGAACCGTCGGCATTCGACGGATCCAAGAGGCCCAGTCCCGCCGTCCTAGAGGACGACACCGGGATCCCGGAAGTGGATGGCGGTCGCGCGGCAGATGAGCCTCTGCTCTTAGAGTTGCGAGCCGACGGCGAGACGGCGCCCCCGTCGGAGCCACCGCCCGGAGCTTGATGGGCCGCGCGAGCACGAACATCATTAGCAGTCCTCAGCGTGGCATTTTCCACCTTGAGCTGGCGGTAGGCCTCCTCGAGGCGCAGCATCCGGCTCGACACATCCTGATGGCCCAGCGAGCCGGTGGCGATCGAGTTGCGGACCATGGTCTCCAGCCGGTCCAGCTTCTTGATTCGCGCGTCCAGGTTGTTCTCGAGAGCCTGGTACTCGCGGTAGAGATCCTTCTCCACAGATTTGATCTTCGTCTGCAAGGCGGCAAACATGCCCTCGATGGTCTTGACAGCGGCGAGGAGGTTCTTGGAGAATCCTGGAAGGCGACTCGCTATGACCTCCAGCGTCGGCACCACCTGCCGGTCCACGAGGGTATTGTTATTAGCCCACTCTCGGCCGCAGAGCGAGCTCAGCTTGTGCCACAGCAGGAGAAGAAGCTCGTTCCTCTCCAGCAGCTGCTCGCGGGCCGTCTGCTCCAGCATGGCCAGCTTACGGCGATCCTGGCCTCGAGTGGCTTCCAGTTCGCTAATGCGGACATCTTGCGTGCTGGCCGTCCGGGTGAGGTGCTGGTGTGTCTTTTGGAAGGATTCAAACTGGGACTTGGTATTGCGGTGGGCAACGCGCTCCTTTTCCAGCAGCTCGGTGATTTTGCGAGTCTCCAAGGCGTGAGACTCCATAAGCGAATCACGCTGCTTGATGATGCGTTCTTTTTCCACCAGTGCCGCTTTGGACGTATCAAGTTCACGAACGGTGTTCTCGAGCTCGCGCTGCATGCGTGCAATAGACTGCGGAAAGGGGCGAATCATGTCAGTATGAAGAACAGAATCAGCTGCAGTGTGTTCGGTACCTACCTTAAGCAGCGAAGAACGGGTGCCATTGAGGTCACCCAATGCCTCCCTCAGGTTGTTCTCCAGCTCCAGCAACCTCTCCTTCCACTCCGTTGCCTCGACCTCGCGGGACGACAGGCTCTTGCGCAGTCGCTTGACCTCGTCCTTGGCGTTGGCGTTCTCGCGCTGAAGGTTGGCAAAAATTTGCTGCACATCTGCGTCCTTCTTAGTGGTCACATCCTCCCACTGTGCGCGCTCTTCTTGCATCCGGTTCTCCAGCTCCTTGACCCGCTCCTTTTCGTCTTCCAGGCCCCTCTGCGTGTTGGAGAGGGCCGCCTCGAGATCGCCGATGCGAATCTTGTCTGCCTCCTGCTCCTCCCGGAGGAACGAGATCTCGCCCTGGGACGACTCCTGCTGGACAGAGAGCCGCTGGTTCTTTTCGTTGGCTTCGAGGAGCTTCTGCTCCAGCTCCTCCAGCTCCTTGTTGGACGATTCCTGCTCCTGCTGCAGGTGCTGGATGCGGTGGGTGAGATTGGCATGCTCCTCCTCAAGCCGTTGAATGTGCTGGAGCTTCTGATCCTGCTCGTCCTCGAGGCTAAGGAGGGCTTCGCTCATCTGTCGCATCTCCTTCTGCAAGCTGTCAAAGTTCTCGGATCGGTCGCGCAGCTCAATGTTCAGCTTCTCAACTTCGGCGTCCAACAGATCAATCTCGCCCTGTGCTTCCGCCCGAAGAGCCTCCATCTCAGCCTCTAGCGCTTGCTCGGCGACCAAGGCTTCGTCGCGCTCTTGCTGCAAGGCAACGAGATCCTTGCCCATATTCTCAACCTCTTCCTGCAAGGCTAGAATGTTCTCCTCCGCTACGCGCTTCTCGTGAGAAAGCTCCTCTAAATCGCCCAAACACCTGTCCAGTGTGCCCCTCAAATCCTGATTCTCCAGCATAGCCTTGCTGTATTTGTCGCGCGTCTCGGCGATCTGATTCTCCAGCTCTTCGCGCTCTGCCTCGTCCTCCGCCGTCAGCTGCCTCGTCCGAACACTGCCTCTCGAGCCTGGCCTGTCGTGGCCGCCGGCACGCGATGCGGATCGCTCCAAGAGACTGTCAATAGTAGAAGGAGCGGGGCCGCCGCGTCGCTGGGCCATCTTGAGGTCCTCGATTTCCTGGTACAGGCGCTCCTTTTCGCGGTTTCTGGAAGTCAGCATGGAGGTCTGGGCCCCGACCTCGCGCCGAAGCTCGGCATTCTCGTGCCGCAGCTGCTCGCTCTCCCGGCGCAGCTCGTCGACCAAGGTGCTGGCGGCGCTGAAGTTAGCATGAGATCCATCTACGTCGCCAGACACGCTGGACATGGGCCGACCCGGCGAGGCGTTGCGATCCCGGGGCTTCTTGGTAATGTTGTAAATGTTGGTCGTGTGATGCATCATCCCGGTGCCGGCGCCAGACATCTCCTTCTTGAGCCGGAAGACCTCATCCCGCAGCTTCCTGTTGTCCTCGTCCGCCTGCTCTCTGCGCGCAGTCTCCTGCTCCAACAGATCCTTCCAGACATCCGCCTCCTCCTGGCGTCCGAAAGCGTCTCCTGAGCGTTCACCGAGCGTCTTGACGATATCCGACAGCTTCTTCTTCTCCGATTCCCTATCCATCGTCTCGCTCCGCAACCTTTCGATTTCGGTGGCATAGGTTTCGACACGCTCCCGCAAAAACATGAGCTCTTCTTCCCGCTCCTGCGCCTCCTCATTGTACATCTTGGCAGTCTGGTCCGTCGAGGAGGCAGCGCTCCGCGCAGTGCTCGGCCTCTCTTCGTCTTCCTTCTCCTTCTTTTCCAGTTCCTTGACGCGTTTTCGCAAAATCTTGTTGTCGCGCGTTGTTATCGCGAGATTCGTTCTCAGCTCGACGTTTTCGGATATCATCTCCTTGAGGCCTTCTTCCGACAGGGTGTCGAGCCGTTTGCTGAGGAACATGACCTTCAGCTTCAGGTCAAAGTTCTCCTTGGATAGTCTCTCAATCGTGCTGCTCTGTTCCTTCAGAGTCCAGTTCTGGTTGCCGCCCTTGCCCGTCATCTTGGCGCTGTTGACTGCAGTGGCGTTTGAGACAGACATCCGTGGAGTTTGTAGGCCATTTTCAAACTTGAACTCCTTCGCTACCGAATCCGGGACGTGGACATTCTTAACGTGCTGGGCGATGACGGTATCCGTAGGAGCGGTATTCATGCTGTCTTTGGTCTTGGGCGTCACCATCCCATAGTTGTCCCTTCCTCTGGTAGGAGTGTCCACCTCTTGCAGAGGCTCTAGTTGACGAGTGTTGTCACCGAATTCGTCCGTGCCCATGCCAGAAGTCATGCTGCCCGTGCTTATCGAGCGCAGCAGCAGGTTGGATGGAGCTCGAGACATGCCTGTGTTGGGCACCGCTCCGCCAGAATGTAACGCATAGTCCAGCCCCAGCCCTACGGTCCCCACGGTAGCATCACTGTCCTCTTGAGACTCAGGATTGGTTATGAAGGAGGAGGTCGAGGATCGCGAGCTGCTGAAGCGGTTGCTGCGAACGTATTTCGGGCGCCTGTTGCGCAGGGCATGTCCAGGGCTGCCGCTCGTGTCGAACGGCTCCGCGGCCTGCTGAGAATGGCGAAACGAGGAAGCGGCAGGGTCCTGGCCACCAGGTCGAGGTCCGCCAGCGCCAGCCTGTCCATCCTTACCGCGCTCCTCTTGTGCTCCCACCCTGGGGGTGTTCTGGTTGTTCTGAGCAGCGGTCGCGGCACGAGTAATGGACCGAGCAGCCGCCGCCGCTGCGGGCGAGGAATCGAAGTCTTCTAGGTTGGACGTGGTGTTGCTCGCTCTAGTCAAGTCGTCTTCGGAATCGGGATGGAAGTCGAACTGGTGCGTGTAGTCCGCTTCCGTCTTGTAGCTCGGCTCGTATCGTGGCTCGGGTCTGGACTGCGACGACTTGTGCTGGGCTTCGGACTGAGCAGAGCTTTTGGCGGACTGTGTAGACCGTTTCGCGGGCGCATCGAAGACGAAGCTGTCATCAGCAGTTGTGCCTGCAGTCGCAGGGGCGGTGGGGATCGGGGACAAGGTCGGCAGGAAGCTCGACTCGACGTCGTCAAAGTGCTCTCGGACCGCGTCCTCCGAGATGGTCTCGTCAGCGCCCAGCGTCGGCGTCAGCGCGGTCGTCTCGAAGTAGCTCTGGTCTCCGGGCAGCGCAGGCGAGGCCCCGCCGGCTCTGGGCCGAGACGAGGACGACGATGTCGAAGCCCGCGCCGCCTCCGGGGAGAGCTTGCTGCTCGGTGGTCTATTAGGGGCTATCGTGCCATGTTTGGGGGGTGCTGGCGCATTCTCTTGCTGCGGCGAGCGCGTGCTGGTCGTTGCCGTCGTCGAGTGCTCTGCTGCTGGAGCGGTGCTCGTGCCGCCATTCTCGGCCTGGGCGCGACTGGACGAGGAGGAGCGAGAGTCGGGCTCCTGGGCGGTGTTCTCATCCACGCCAGCCATGGTGCATCTTGGGGCTATTGCTCTGTTTCGGCCGGGGCTGGGAGAGAGTCGCGAGGCAGTGGGACGCCGGCCGTGGGTGCGAGAGACGGGCAGGCAAGCGGTGGTGAGCAGAGGGTCGAGAGAGGGAGGTCAGTGGTTAAGGCGGTGCCGGCTTGATGCGAGCTCGAGCCTCGTCCGACGCCTGATGGAGCAGTTATCACTGGATCCCAACCAGACGGAGGGCACCAGCCGAATTGCTACAGTACAGTACTGAGTACCTAAGGTACCCTGGGCGCCTGCAGCTCAGTGCTTGCACGCGCTAAGGCCGCGGGAGCCAGTGGGATTCTAGAGAGGCCGATTAGGGGCTGGGCTGGCCTGTCATCAACCAACCGAATTGAAAGGGGGGGCCCCCGCAGAGCCTGAAATAGGCGGTAAGTCTCTTGAACCCAATCTGGACGGCATTTGATTTGATTCAAATTGACCTCATTTGACCTCATTTGACTTGAGCCCGTTAAATGAGCTGCTGGAGTCACGCCTCGTCACTTTGCTGCAGACCATCACTTCGCAGCCTTCTTGCGTCCACAGTAAAAGCATTGCCAATGCCTCGGTTTGGTTGGGATGACCTCCCGTGGTGTCATTCATTACAGAGGATTGATGCTAGTATATCCGAGTTTAAAAAGTTGGTGATATCAAACTGCACGAAGCAGAAGAGAAGGAGATGAAGGAGAAGAAGAAGAAGAAAGAAGAAAAGGGAGGGGTCGACAGAAGAAGAACCAGGAAGAGAGAATAAAAAAAAAAGTCATGCCAGTTTAACAGAAACAGAAAATGCTGGATTGGTACTGTAACATAGGTAATTCCCCAAAAAGCCCTGCCACTCTCTTTACCAGGTATCAATTTTCAAATCGCCTGTCGTCCGCCAGTTTTCGTTACAAACAGACCTTCACCGTAATTTACTTTCGTTGCCGATATGGAGAAGCGTACAAACGACTTCCACGCCAAACGCCGCAGGCCTATCCAAGTCCCAAACTGTTCCAACTCATGCATCGTCACACTCGATTATTGCGAGAAAAATATAAAGGTAAATGAAAAAAAGAATCGGGAAAAGGCGGTAGGAGAGAGAAGAAGAAGAAGAAGAGGGGAGGGCGGTAGAAGGTGAAGAGAAGAGAAGAGATGAAGGAGGAGGAGGAGGAGGAGGAGGAGAAGCCACTACCACCACCATTTCCACGTCTTCTCCAGTGACGGATCCTTCAGCACGTCGTCTACCCAGCCTAGGCTCTCTCTCTTGTCGTCAAGCAGTCGGGCATACTCAAACAGCAGCCTCAGCACATAGATCTGCATGTCCTCTTTGCGCAAGACCTTCTCGGCCCACTCCTTGCCCTCGGTGGCAATCTTCTCAGCGACTCGGTCGTGGCCGTTGCGCCCCTCGTATCCGAGAAAGTACTCCATGATGCCGTAGTAGTCGAGGAAGCGGCTGTCCATGGGGACAAAGTGCTTCCACGCGACCAGGCGGCTGTCGTGCCACTCATGCCAGATGGTGGCCTTGATGGGCAGCGAGGTGGACCGCAAGAAACCGAGGTAGCGCCCGGAAAAGGAGTTTCCGTCAATGTCCGGGATGAACTTGTTGTCGAACTGCTCCGCCATCTTCATTCCCTTGGTCGGCTTGAAGTAGTGGCCCGTGTAGTTGCACTTTCCGTTTTGCGGAGGTGTGCAGCTGAGATCCGTGAAGCTGATGTTGGCCCACGTGTTGATCCATTCGCCCAGTTTGCCGTCCTTTTGAGCCTGAAGGTCGTACTCCTCGCTTGGTGGCAGCGCAAAGTTCTCTGGCTTTTCTCCCTTTTCCACTCGCGCAACGGTCGTGCCATTGCTCATGGCGACGAATCGATGGCGCTGGAATCCACGCCAGTTGCTCGCCGTGTTCTGGCCTCCCGTTGCGACACCGCGCCAAATGGCCTTGTTGTGCTTTTCGGTCCAGGGAATACCATGGTTGTCACCGCCAGTGAAGCGCTCCTCCTCGTTCCAGTACATGGGTGCAGGCAGCAGGATCTCGTTGTTGACGCCCAGTTTGGAACCTCCAAACATGGGGAAGAGGACCTTGGAGGCAGAGGTAGAGAGCGGCTCAATGAAGATGCCCTCCAGGGCTTGCAAGTCCGGCTGGTGGCAGATCTCGGTGGAGAGCGAAAAGTTGGAGACGTAGCCCTTGTACATGTGGGGTTCGGCGTATGTCAAGTTGATGTCGGGTGTGCGGTTTGCGGTTTTGACGAGTCCTACAGACCGGGCGAGGCTGTCGGGGGCGCAGCCGCGCCGAGCGATAGCCCAGTATGGCTCTGCGGTGAAGAGCATTGTTAGTATCAGGTTGAAAGCAGCAGGTGAGCAAGCAAAGGGAATTCGTCATCGTCCCCACGGGGTGAACCACAGAATCCAAAAGAGAGACACTTACTTGTCTTTTCCCAATCCTTGGGGCGCGACTTGATCTCGACGTCTCCAGTACCCGGGCGAGGCAGCTTCTGGAACTCGCGAATGGTGTCCTTCGCCTTGGGAATTTTGACCGTCTTGGACGCATTCTTCATGTACTCGGCCATCTCCTCCCAGGGAACAACCAATCTGGGCTCGTCCATGGCGTTGAGCGCAATGTCCATATCCGGCAACAGGTGGTCGATGGTCTTGATCATCTTAAGCCAGATCTTGGTCCAGAAGAAATCGCTTCGCGCGGTGGCATTACCATCGCGGATGTTGATTGTCATCTCATAGTCCCACGATTCCTTGCGGATAACGGCCGGGTCAAGGCCCCAGAAGGGCTGCAGGTCCTGGTAGATGCGGTCGAAGAAGTCCTCGACAATGATTGCGTTCTTGGAGCGGGCAAACTCGAACCACTTGTCGAAGCCGGGAGGAGGGTGACGGCCGCGGCGCTTGCGATAGGCCTGGGCAGCCTCTTCCACGGTGTTGGACTGTTTCGAAGTGAGCTCGGCAAACGTCATCTGGGCGTCGTATACCAGCTTGTCAATGGGGTGGTCGCTGCTGGTGGGAGGTTTGAGCGGAGGAAACGAGTCGTGGATGGGCTCCTGGTCCGGCGTCGAGGTTCCCTGGGACAGCGGCGCCGTCGCTACGGGAGCTTTTGCGCCTCCCGCGGTGACAGGGCCAGTGTTGGCGTTTGGAGGCGGGTTTGTCTTGTGCTCTGGCAGCGAATTGTCCACCGGCAATGGCTGTGGCGGGCGCGAGATATCGGACGAGCTGCGGGTGAAGGTGTACAAGGCCAGCAGCAGAATGGCCGCCAAGACGCCGTACCGCACAAGGCCGGACGACCGCCGCATCGGAAATCCGGGCGACAGCATTTTCATGGTGGACGTCGGCGCTGGAGAGTTCTGCGACGCTCTTGTCTGTTGCGGAAGATGGCAAGGTACCTAGGTAGTATAAGAGAGACACGCGGCGTCGGGAGGTTTCGCCAGGAGGTGACGAGCGTTGGCCGCGTGTGAAGTTTTTTTGCGCTGTGCGTCTGCGTCTGCGTCTGCGTCTGCTCCGCCAAATTGATGCTGGATGACGGAGGGGCAGTCGAGGAGAGGATAGTAGGTATCCAAGAGAAGGGCGACGTCAACGCATCCGGGCGCCAAGAAGCGCACGGAATCTAGGAGAAATAAGGTTGAGGCTGCTTCGAGGCTTGTTAACGAGCGACTAGACTCTCCGTCTCCGTCTGGTCGGTCTGCACACGGCACGGCACAGAGGCGCGGCAAGAGTCTGGAGTCAGCGCGAGGTCAGCGTGAGCTGAGAGGTCTGGTGAGGGCGAGTCTCAGGTTGGTGGGATGGATTTCGGGGCGCTCTGGAGTCGCTACAGCCGCCGCATCGCTTTCCTGCCTGGAGAGACGAGAGCAAGAGGTGATTGAAGAGGCAGAAGTTGCAATTTCGCACGAGAAGCGCAGAGGCGGGCAAATTACTGCTCGGGCTGGTTGCTGCTCTGGATGGGATGGGACTGGACCAGACGCTACTCCGGCCGTCCATTAGGTTAGCACTCAACTGGACTGGTCACTATACCTGGGACGCTTGCGGCAAGATTGGCCACATCGCCCATTGATTCGCCAACCCCATCTCGCAGCGAGCCAAGCCTGGTGCCAAGACGACCCATGGCGCCTCTGTAACCCCTGACCAGATTACGCTTGGTGCTCGCTAGCGGGTGCCCTGGGCCCTCGCGGTGGCACCGGCTCGCAGTCTTCAGCGCTGTTAGTGGGTGCTGGTAGTGGCCACAGGTGCTGGGTGCAAGGCACCAGAGGCCCGCGCGATAAGGCTGCCCGCCATAGCCTAACCGAGAGAGGTGCTGCTGCTGGTAATGAAACAACGGGCATGGATGGGTTGATGCTTGATGAGGCCAGCCAGACGGTGATCAAGGCAGTCAAGGTAAGCACATGGATGGGCAGAGAATGCTTGCCAACATGCTCGATGGATGCAGTTGCTAATTCAAAAAGCCAGACCGGGAGCAAGCGAGCGGATGCCGCTTTCAAAACACGGCCCAACTGCCAACGAATATGAGCTCCCTTGCTTCGACTCAACATGCTCGCTTCAGGCTGCATCATGTCACAGCATCTCGCCCATCACACACGCCAGACTCTGCGGAGGACCTTGCCCTTCCTTTTCTCTGCCCTTCGGTTGTTTTATTGCTTTGTCTTGCGGTTATTTCACAGAGATTGCCTATCTGGAAGAAGCTGACTGGAAGCAGTGTCTACCTTATTACCTGAGGCGGCGGATGGAACAATGAACGCGATGCTCTCCGTCTGGTTCTCTCCAAACTGTGCAATCCTGTCAATCCCGCGGTCCGCTAATGAATGAGCTGACGATCGCTGCTCTCCCAGCCCCAGCTCACTTATTGCCAGCTCCACCCGGTGTGGTCCCGGTTGTTGTCTCGACATGCTTGCACTGGCTGAGCTGACTGGTTGACTTGCGCCATTGCCACGAAAATCCTCGAGCGATTTAGCGGGTTGTGCGAGCACGCAAGACGAGCGGACCAGGGCCACAAGCAAGCAAGCAAGCAAGCAACGCAAGTAATAGGCGGTCGAGGCAAGGAAGCCAAGGGGGAGACAGCAGAAAATCCCTCCAATAAGCATCTGTGAGAACCAGCAGCAAGATGCCGTGGTACAGAGCACATGCTCGCACCTGTCGAACAAGACGTCGTTTCCTCCGGCTCGGAGGTAGGGCATCCGGAGCTTTTTATCTTTCTGTCCTTGAGGTGGTTCATGTTACCTCGCGTCTCTCTCACCCGATTGCCGCGCTCCACCAGAGACAAGCCGTGCTCTTTTCACTTTCCTAACTGCCAGGTAGCCCTCGTCCTTGCAAGGAAGCTCCCAGTAGCATCCATGTGAGAGCATATTACGAGTAGCACTAGCAGAGTAGGTGGGCGGCAGAACATCTAGGTAATATCATCACTGCGACACGCACATGCTGCTATTTCATGCCGCCCTCGCCCCCAACCCTTTCGCCCCATGTTTTCTCCTTCTCGTCCCGGGGACACTGATACGAACGAGCACATACGAGTAATACATACATGAGCAAGAGACACATGTTAGCCCCAATCGTGGGTTTAAACTTTCCGATTAACCGGTTTGCAGAGAACGACATACGAGGACGCGTACGTACCACGAGCACAAGTACGAACGATTGGAGCAACATGAGGAGCCAGTCGAACTCCGAACAATGCAGCTTCTACCTACGGAGTGATCATCGGGCAAATCTTGTCCAATTTCGTCCCTTGTCCGAGGGTTTACGTGAAGACCATCTCACGCGCAGGACATTTCATTTGAAATAAGAAAAGGAATAAGCTCTTGACCAAGACGGATCCGACGCCACTCTGTTCGTTACACGAGTCGGTGATTGCCTGGACCACTGGTAATAGCGTGCAGTCCTACTGGGTGGATTATCGTAGCATTCTGGGGGGAGTCGATTTATGACGTTCGCAGCACAGTTGGGAATGGAATTCCCGATATGCCCAAAGAGGGACTGGCCTCTGCTGCTTGTGGTATCGAGTTCTCTACGCAGCCCGATAAAGGGTCCCCCCTGTAATCTCGCCTTGTTAATGCGGCCGTTGTATGCGTCTGCCGATTGGCGAACCGGCCTCGCGATGAGGTCAGGATTCGTGGTGAGTGGGTGTGATCGTGTTGCACAAAGATGACGAGCTGTTACTTGACAAGGAGTCAAGCGGATGGCTTGTATTGGACGGCACTTTTGATGCAATTTGACGGCTCTCGGCGCCCTATTCGTCAGTCTACATACTTCTGGGAGCCGGCGAGAACTACCAGATTGTGGACAGGCTTCTATCCATCTACAACGATGATAATAGGAGGCGGAATGTAAAATGCGCGTTTGAGCAGAGGGGGTCATTCATTCCTAAAATACCATTACAAATCACAACTCGTCCAATCTGACGAACTCGTGGTATATATTGTACGCATATTCTGGCGCAGTCTGTCCTCAAATCCATCACCGCATTTCTCAAACTGCTACCCTATAGACACCGACAAAAGCATGAGCGACAGTGAAATGAGGCGTTACAGATCGTGAAGTGATGCTTGAATGTCCATGATTCAAATCTCCACTTCATATCTATGTGCTACGGCAAGGTGACATCCAGTTGGCGACTGTCAAATCTCGACGTCTGACAGCAAATATTACTCGGTGTTGGTGTCCTCGGGATGGTAAGGGGAAGTTGATGACAGCAGTAGCCGTCCTTGTCAAGGAGAGATGCTATTGAAGACTATAGAGAAATCACATAAGAATATAGATGCTCTCGAGAACGGCCATGTGGATTTTTGTTGTTTTCGATGCCTCGGGTTGGAAGATTGAAGCAGTAAGAGTCACTGAGTGCGCCGATAGACGTGTTCACACCTGCGTTATCAACCGACACTCATTGAAGGTGATACGAAGCTACAAGAGTCAAACAATACATAGGATCATTTCCCTCCCAATCGTCTAGCCAGTTTCCGATTGTCAGAGTTGTGACCGTCATATGCACCAGTTCTGGGCTGATTCGCTCCGTATCCGTGCAATCTACTGCTCTCGCCGTCAGGGGAAGCGCCATCACGGTACCCACGACAGCGGGAGATCAGATCAGATCAGATCCGTGGCCTTAGCGGCAGCTCCCTCGTGGCTCGTCGCCCCTGCCCGTGGCCTTATTCGCGAACCACGATGCACGGAAGCATCTGTGTTGGGCATAGATTGCTGCTCTTCTAGGATAGAATCGCAATTAAGAATATTTGGTCTCCTTGGACGGATTGATGTGGGAGTTGCGTCCTTTTGTCTTAGCCCGTGGCTCGGAGTTATGAGCCAGTTGCCTACCATGCACTAGCGGTCGTATCTCCGACTCCCGCTTGTCCTCGGAGGATATGAATGCCCTCGATTTAATGGATTTCTTGGCCGCGAATTTATCGAATTTATCGAATTTCCTGCATTTTTGCCAACTATTTTATCGTCGTTGCAATATTCAGTTTCCTTGACTCATGCCTGACTGGCTGGGGCTGCTATTACATAACGCCAACGAGAGCGGTTGGTTGGTGGCAGAGGGGTCACTTGACTGGCGTTATCAGGTGGAGGGAGCGATAGGGAGGCGGGCGAGGCTAGACGCGGCTTTGGAGGGGCTCCCAACGTCATCCAGCTTATCCAGCAGTTTTGAAGCCGTTTTGAGGGAATGAATTGAGGTGTTGTGTTGCAGTTGAGACGTTGCTGGGATGAGATGCGGCGGGAGGGAGAATTGGCTCACATTGTATTCGTATGTTTGACGAGGAGTTTCCCCAGAAGAAAGTGACAGTAATAGTAGGCGGCACCTATCTATTTCGAACTCAGTCAGATACTTGTAGTCCTCGTAATTCTTCATGTGATTCCTGCCGAGCGGTGTAGATATCTCTCTACTCAGCGATAAGCAAACCAAGCCAACCAACGCCTCCCCTCGACAACTTACTCAGCCCAACCAAGCGGCATCGACACCATCGCCATCAGCAGCATCGCCCGCTCTGACAAAGACCGACCAACTCCCTTCCATCTCCCTCGGCGTCTCGTGTTGTCTCGTCTCGTGAACAGGCCCCCGGCCGCTGCTGGACGAGCCCCGCGGTGGAGTCCCCGGACTGCCGCGGCGTGGCATTGCCGACTCAAGCCTTGTTGCCAGCATTTATTTTCCTGTGCCTTGACCAAAGCGACTTACTTATATAGAGTCTCTGTTTTCCTCTAAGTTACTAGTTCCGTCTCCTGCTCAACACCCCTTTACCTCTAAGTTACTAGCCCGAATCTGCGCCAGAGACACACGCGCACACATGGATTCCGTCGCTTTCTCTTGACCTGCCCAATTGTACGGGCCTAGCCCACGGCCCTTTGCAAAATGGCGCTCAGACAAGCAGCAAAAGCAGGCGCAGACGCAGCCGCAGCCCCCCCAGGAACGGCCCTCTGATAGGGGACGCCCATGTGACCTGAAGTCTATATCTACATAGGTTCCGGCCGCTGCCCGCCTCGCCGAAAGCCTCAAACTCAAACCCTTCTCTTTGCAGCTCTTCCACCTAAAGCAACTTGAACATATTTATACCTTGGCCATCTGCCGATTCTCTTCTCTCTTGCCAGACTCTTGCAATTTAGATTCGAGAAATCTAAGAGATCTTTATATCCCACGGATCTTCGTTCTTCGTTCCTCGTCACTTCAACGTGCAATTCAATCGCCCAAAATGAACACCAGCACCGTCAAGAGCCGCTTCCTTCCGCACCCCGAGGACCTCGGTATCGTCACCGTGGGCTTCTCTGGTGGCCAGGTACGCGTCCCAATGCCCTGTTGCAGAATGTCACGGCATCTACACTCTCATCTGCCATCAATTCGACGCGCCGATGGATTCCAAAAGCTTTTTGCTGACTGGGTGCCGAACAGCAAAAAGCCGGTGTTGATGCAGGCCCCAAGGCTCTCATTGACTCTGGTCTCTTGACCCAGATTCAAGAGGAGCTCGGCTACAAGCTGCACGGCGACGAGACGGTCAAGAACTACCACGATATGACCCCTGCCTCCGATCCCGATTATCGCGGCATGAAGAACCCGCTCCTTGTCTCGGCCGTCACTCGACAGATTGCATCCGAGACATACGACCACTCTTCCAAGGGCCGCCTCACCTTGACGCTTGGTGGCGACCACAGCATCGCCATTGGCACCATTGCCGGAACCGCCAAGGCTACGCGCGAGCGTCTTGACCGCGAAATCGGCGTCATCTGGGTTGATGCCCACGCCGACATCAACACTCCCGAGACGAGCGGAAGTGGTAACATCCACGGCATGCCTGTTGCCTTCCTCACCGGCATTGCCAAGGAGGACAAAGAAGAGTACTTTGGCTGGATCAAGGATGACATGCGCCTGAACGTCAAGAAACTGGTGTACATTGGTCTGCGTGATGTGGATGGTGGCGAGAAGCGCATCCTGAGAGAGCATGGCATCAAGGCCTTTAGCATGTTCGACGTTGACCAGTAAGTGCATCATTATTGCATCTCTTTCCGCTCATACCAAACGAAAGACTAACCTTTGGATTTTTTTCATAAAGCCACGGAATTGGTCGCGTCATGGAAATGGCCCTCGCTTATCTTGGCGACGAGACCCCCATCCACCTGTCGTTCGACGTGGATGCTCTCGATCCCATGTGGGCGCCCAGCACCGGCACTCCCGTCCGAGGCGGCCTCACTCTTCGTGAGGGCGATTACATCTGCGAGGTTGTCCACCAGACTGGCAACCTGGTTGCCATCGACATGGTGGAGGTGAACCCCAGCCTCGCAGCCACCGAGGCTGGAGCACAGGAGACCGTGAGAGCCGGTTGCTCCCTAGTGCGCTGCGCCCTCGGCGAGACCCTGCTGTAGGGTGGCAGAGGGGAATAGCACGTTCGAGGAGCAAATGAGTGGGGGTTTTCGTGGAACTGTTTTGATTCTGGTTTGATGGTGTTTTTGCTGAAACAGATACCTTGTGTGCAAATGGATGGGAATGGGAAAGGAAACGGCATGATTTTATGAAATCCGTTTCATAGGGTAAAAAAGCGACACGTTGCTTTAAAGGGCTACTCTTTATCTAGACAACGATAGATGGAGGTATGCAAAGGCTAGACTTGGCTAGAATGCAATGCTTTCATACTGTATATGCGAGACCACGAACAGGAAACGTCAAGTTTTTGCAGAAAACAAAGTCAAGTGCGTCAAAAGGAAATCATCATTGCGTCTATCAACAAAATTGCTTTTATATGCTCATCGCTCTTCTATTCGCAAACGTCACGATTTTGAACCCGGCCCAGCCGCTTTAGTACACCTCGAGCACATATCGTCCCTCCTCCTTGAGCCTCTCAATCTCCTTGGTGGGGTCCACCTTCTTGCCCGACGCCTGAGCCTCGGCGGCGATGGCCTCCTTGAGCACGGCCGTGACGTCCGGCACGGGCCAGGTGGGACCGCAGAGGTAGAAGCTGCCGCCCTCCTTGATGTAGGCCTGGGCGATGCTGTCGAGCGTCTGGCGCATCCTGTCCTGGATGTAAATCTTCTTGGGCTGGTCTCGCGAGAAGGCGCTCCCGATGAGGGTGACGACGCCGGCGGCGAGGTAGGCCTCCCACTCCTCGCCGTAGAGGTACTCCTCACGCTGGTGGCGGGAGCCGAGGTAGAGCAGGATGGAGCCAATCTCCTTGCCCTGGGCCTTTTGCATGGCGCGGTACTGGACGAAGGCGCGGAAGGGCGCCAGGCCGGTGCCGAGGCCGGCCATGATGAGGGGCGCCGTGTCCTTGGCGGGCAGCTTCATGACCGAGGGCTTGACGGACACGGTGACGGCCGCGCCGGGCTGCAGGCGGCTGAGGTAGCGCGTGGCCTGGCCGACGCGCGTGCGGCCCTTGGTGTCGACCCAGTCGACGACGACAATCATGAGGGCGACGCTGTTGGGCGTGACGGCCTGCGCCGAGGCGATGGAGTACTCGCGGCGCTTCATCGGGCTGACGATCTTGATGAGGTCGTGGAAGCTGGGGCGCGCCGAGGCAAACTCCTCGAGGATGTCGACGTACGTGACCGTGTCGACCTCGGAGCGGCGCTTGAACTCGGCGGCGCCCTCGTTGCCGCCTAGGGCCGCCAGCTTCTTCTTCTCCGTCTCGTCGGTGGCGAACTCGGACAGCGCCTCGTAGAAGCGCTTCGGGGGCTTGCCGAAGATGTCGACGTTTTGCGTCAGCGCCTGGAACACGGTGCGCACCTCGACGGCGTCGGGGTCCTCGCGCGAGGGCACCTGGACGAGCTCTGCGGGGTTGAGGCCGTAGAAGTCGATGAAGGCGTTGACCTGCTCCTCGTCGTTCTCCGCGTGGATGCCCAGGGCCTCGCCGATCTTGTACGTGAGACCGGAGTCGCCGAGGTCGAACTCGATGTGGAAGATGTTACGGTCGTAGTCTGAGGGCGTCAGGCGGCGGTTCTCCTTGACCCGGACGGTAGCCGTCTTGACCGAGAGCTCGGGGCGCAGCGTTGTCTGCGTGCCGTAGGCCTCCTTGAAGACCAGGCCCTTGGCGGCAGCCTGCCAGTCTTGGAGCTTCCAGACCTCTTCGGCCTCCTCCTTCTCAAAAGGAACAAAGGCATTGGTCTGAACGTCAGCTGGCAGACTGGGCTGGACGAAATCAGGCTCTACCTCTGCCCAGCTGTCGGGGATCTCCAGCTCGGACAGGACCTGGTCAAGAGCGCTGCGAGCCTCTTGCACGTGGGACTGTTCTGCTCCAACGAGCGCAGCAAAGTCCTCGGGGCGGCTGTCCGGCAAAGCAACTTGCATGAAGGCGAGCTCGAGGAGCAGCTTGGCGACTGAAGCGTCCTTCTCAAAAGCGGGAGAGACGGCGGGGTCCAGGACAAAGACGCGGAGTCCCTTTTCACGGATCGTCTTTCGCACGGCAGCTGGGAGTCGCTTTTCGACGTCGGCCTGGTTGAAGTTGGGCAGCTTGATGAGCAGCTTACCGCCAGGGACGACGTTGGCCAGCACATCGATATCCTTAAGGATCTTTTCGTCACCAACAACCACGGTTTCTGCTGCAGTTACGGAATAGGGCGCCTCCAGCTCGTATTTGGATGCACGAACATCGGTTCGGACAATGCCGCCCTGGGTGAAGTTGTCGTATGTCTCAAACACCTGAACGTTGTTGGTGTCTTCCTGGGCAAGGTACTTGCCAAGTGCAGCGGCCGACTTGACGGACACAGAGTTATCGAGATCCCAGAACGTAAATTCCTGGGGCTTGATGAGAAGAGAAGGCAAGGGCTTAGCCTCGTCGTCATTTCCGAAGATCTTGTGCAGAATGTTGACCAGGCCTTGCGGGGTCAGAGACTGAGCAGGAGTGTACTTGATGTCCAGAACTTCGGGTTGCTGCTCGAACTTGCCGGCAAAAGTGACGGCGGTAAGAACATCGCCGTACAGCGCCGACTGCGTAGCCTCATCTGTCACAGCGGCTTCGCTGTTGACCTGACCGAGCACGGCAATGGTGCGAGCAGAGGCGGGGATAGCCTTGAGGAAGGCCTCCTCGATAAAGGGTCGGTAGACACGGACATTGATGACGCCAACCTTGGCTCCGTCTCCGGCAATCTTCTTGATGGTCTCCTTGGCGACTTGAGTCTCGACGCTTCCCAGGGCCACCAGGACGACGTCAGGGGTTTCGTGTCCGTGGTATTCGAAGGGCTGGTACACAGTGCCGAGCTCGTCGTTGAAGAGCTTCAGGAGCTCCAACACTTTGCCTGCAGTGTCGAGGTGCTGGTTCAACTTGCCAGCCTCCTCGACGAGTGTGTTGTATGTGTTGGCGACACCAGTCTCGCTCAAAGCATCAACGACCCGCAGAGTCTCCCTGGGAAGACGAATGCCGTCGTAGATGTGAAGGGTAGGAACAACGCTCGCAAGCAGTGTCGAGAAGATTGACATGTGCTGAGTCTCATAGACGGAGGAGCTGGCAACCAGGCCCAAGCCAAGGTCTTCAGCGAGTCTCAAAGCGACATCATAGTCGGAGACAAGGCCGTTGGCGGCGCTGTAGTCGGCGGCAGCGATGTGAGCCACAAAGGGGCTGGAGAGGTTGTAGAGAAGGGAGAGCTGATCCAGGGTTCCACGGAGGTTCTGGAGCGATCCCGATGGGGCCAGCAGCGTCTGAGGGATATGGCGCTTGTTGACGTCGAAATCCGGCGAGAAGATGTAGCCCAGGGCGAGAGCACCGGCACCAGTTCGAGTCTGCAAGGGCAGAACATCAGGGGCGTATCCGTGGATGTTCTTGCTCTCATCGGCCGCCCACTGCTTGGCAGAAGCGTCAAGGCCAAAGGTGGGAGGAGAGTAGGAGAAGATCTTGTCGGACAGCTTGTACGCGATCTGCTGGACGAGCAGCTGGGCCGTCACATAAGTCGGACCAGAGATGTCCGACAGCGGCACCTGCTTGCCAAAGGGCAGCGTGGAGGATTCTTCCACCTTGGACGACATTTTCGAAAGAGTGTGATCTGTCTTTCCGAAGGTTGAGTCTGGACGATCAATCTCAGACTATAGGAAGAAGAAGAGCTGGGGAAACAGAGGAGGAGAGGAGGAGAACGAGAGAGAGAACAAAGAGGCGGTTCAGGGAGCAAATAAGCCCATGGCAATCGTGGATCGCCCCGGACGGGAGCCAGCCACGGATTTGTCAGGGTCCATCTCGCGAGCAAATGAAACGCTTTTCTCTCTCTTTTGCTGTGCTCGAAGTGTCTTCGAGATTCAAATTGTTGATACCGGGACCGAATCACGCAATTCTCTTAGGCCCGAAGCGGCCTAGCGCCGATGATGCCACTCGCCGAACCCTCCCCGAAGAGACGGGAATCTCCACTTTATTTTGTTTGGGGCGATGTGATTGGTGCGGACCATCGGTCTCGTCTTTTGAGCAGGAGCGACTTCCGATGTGAGTGAGGAAGGAAGTTGGGTTATTGATGTTGGGAAAGAGCGGATGAGATGAGATGCCGCTGGTCGGCTTGATCGTTTCAACAAGGAAATGCCGAGGTAAATCTCCATGGGTGTCAGTACTGTCCTGTTGCTGGCGGTTAAGGCTTTGTGAGGACTTGGAAGACATGAGTGTTGCTCTTTGGGAAACTCTGAAGAGGTTGCATACGAGATGCAGCAGCCACGTGAAAGAAAGTCCTAACAATAGTGTCGCATTTCAGACTATTCGGCCAATGAGAGTGGCAACTGAGGCAAAATCATCAACGCCAGTCACGCCTTCAGACGAACAAAGATTTCAGAGTCCGGAGCAAGACATGAGAGGAAACATTGAGTCGCATCACCGCGAATAACGAAGTTTGCGTAAGGAATATGGATGACATGTAAACACATGCAGATGTTGATATGTTTATTCTTTTCCTAGTCAAAGATCCCCTGAACTCGGCGGTCTCTGGCACAACACCTGTATATGAGGAAAATACAGAGCTTCATGCCAGATCTGATACCTTCTCTTTGCGACCTGTGTCGTTCGAGGGCGAACTGCTCAGCATGTACAGTATCAAGTCTTCACTTACAACGAGTCTCACGTGACCTCGTGCGAGATGACGTCGGGCTGTCGCCTCTGTTTGTCAGCAAATCGGCACAAATGTCGCGATGCCACAGGCTTCAACATCCCAGTCGCAAGCCATGCTTCGCTCGTCTACGCCTTTTGAGGGACTTGTGCCTGCTTGCGCCACAGACGCGTTTGTCGGCATCTGCAGCGCATCAGGACCGGCAAATCAGCGCTTGATCGATGTTCTCGCTCCAAGCGCGACTACGTGTGACACCGTGGGAAACCAACAGCCGCCACCTTGTGTGTTCTCAGCATATTCACGGCGATTCTACAGTCCGCAGCCGGTGAGCACGGTGAGAGGCGAGGCTGACAAACGAGAGATGAACAGCCCCCAGGTGAATCTATTAGAGTTCGCGTGGTTTCTGCGGGATACATCAAACGGCGTCTGTTCAGGTCAGCTAATGGCGGCCGCCTCCCACCAGGTGATCCCTGCCACTGCACTCCTGCGACATTTGTGCCGATTTTAGCGTCCAAGGTGAACCAGGAGCTGCTGATGCTGCCACTTATAAATAATCGACCAAGACAGCAGCAACCGAGAAAGCATTCCATTCTCCTTCACTGCAGTGTCTGATTCTCTCTGAGCTGCACACTCCATCTTCTGATTTCTTATACTTCTTGATACGGGAAGAACCACTTTCACGCCTTACCCGCAAGTGAGGGTGCATCACGGCCACCTTGTACAACCCAACATCGACTTAGACCTCTTATCAACATTCATACCCTGCCCGCCGGACGCTTCCATCACTACTACACTGCTGTAGAACCAGCATATGCTGATTCTTGGGAGCTCTAAGCACTGCTAAATCACCGACTGGTGAAACGACTCGGCAGGTCGCACACAATGGCTCCGTCCAATACGGCTACGACGGCCTATCTGCTGGGCAACCTCCACTGTCCATCATGTGTGACGCTCATCAAGTCTCTGCTGCAGGAGACGTTTGGTGACAAGATTGTTTGGGTCTCACCAAATCTGGTGACATCCATTGTGACAGTCGAGCATGATGACCATTCGCCGGACTTTGTACGTGCGATAGGAAAGACACTTGAAAATGTCGGCTTCGAGATCTGTGGAGTTGATACCACTGCCACTGGCGCCGAAGACCTTAACAGCACTTCGCAAGGCGATATGCCTGAGAGACACGGCATTTTTGAGAGCTGGTCTAGTTTATGGGCCCAAAAGCAGCCGGCGCCGGCGGTTGAGGCTACCAAGGCTGCGCATCTGGAGAACTGCGAGTCGTGTCGAACTCACAGGCCACACGACGATGAAGATGGCGGTAGTATCGACCAGAAACTCAAGCCATCATCATCATCATCTACGAGCCTCCGCAAGGATCCGCTCACCGGCACGGTACCGCTTGACGGCGTTGTCACTGGTGACGGAAACCCGCCTCCGCTATGGCGGGCGACGATATCCGTTGGCGGAATGACCTGCGCGGCTTGTGTCACCGCCATAACAAACGAGTTACAGAAGCTCCCCTGGGTGTCAAAGGTTGCCGTCAACCTTGTGGGGAACAGCGCCACAATCGACTTCGTGGGCCAGGATAAAGAGAAGGACCTTGTGGAGGCGATTGAAGATATTGGCTACGATGCCGCAATCGACCAGGTCGTTGATATCAATGACAAGAAAGCCATGTCAGACGAGCGACAAGTGGAAATCCGCATCGATGGCATATTTTGCCCTCGTTGCCCTCAGAGGATCAGCAAAACCCTGAGCAGCTTCGGCGCACATGGGGTACAGATTCTGGCGCAGCCGTCCATGGAGCATCCAATTCTCAAACTGCGTTACATCCCGAACGCGCCCAGATTTACCATCAGACACATCCTCAGAAGCATCGAGGCGACAGATCCGTCTCTCCGCGCGAAAATCTACCACCCGCCAACGCTTGAAGAGCGGTCGAGGGCCATCAGGGCGAAGCATACCCGCCAGCTGTTCTACAGACAGGTCTTGACCATTGTTCTCGCCATTCCGACATTCGTTCTTGGCATTGTCTACATGAGCCTTGTGCCAGACTCCAACTCGACCAAGCATTTCCTGATGAAACCATGGGTATCTGGTCTAAGCCGTGTAGAGATTATACTCTGCCTGCTTGCTACCCCGGTGTACTTCTTTGCAGCCGACGTCTTCCATGTGCGAGCCATCAAGGAACTGAGGACTCTGTGGCGGCACAGCAGCCGCACACCTTTCCTGCAACGATTTTACAGATTCGGCAGTATGAATATGCTCATGTCCCTGGGAACGAGCATCGCCTACTGGTCTTCCATCGGCCAGATGATTGCGGCCGGAGCCGACCGCAATCATGCTGAAATCCCCAACGATCGCTTCTACTTTGACTCCGTCGTCTTCCTGACCCTCTTCCTCCTTGCTGGCCGACTCATTGAGGCGTACAGCAAGTCCAAGGCAGGCAATGCAGTCGAAGCCTTGGCCAAGCTGAGGCCGACCACTGCTCTGCTGATTGAGCAGGACAAGCTGCAGGGCCAGGTCACCACGACGATAGATATGGATCAGCTGGAGCACGGAGATGTCATTCGGGTGCCTCACGGCTCTTCGCCGCCCGTTGATGGCGTCATATTAACCGGCGAGACGACGTTTGACGAATCGAGTCTTACGGGCGAATCACGTCCTATCAAAAAGGGCGAAGGAGATGAGGTATTTGCGGGAACTGTCAACAAGGGAGCGGCGGTAATTGTCAAGGTCACGGGGACTTCTGGAAAGTCCATGCTTGATCAGATTGTCGAAGTCGTCAGAGAAGGACAAGCCAAGCGGGCACCGATGGAACAAGTAGCGGATCTCATTACGTCCTACTTCGTCCCCGTGGTGACTCTCATAGCCATCATCACTTGGGCCGTCTGGATGGCGCTCGCATTTTCACATGTGGTGTCAAGCGAAGAGCTGGGTTCGTCGGGTGGTGCCACAGCGTTTGCCTTTCAGTTCGCCATTGCCGTATTTGTTGTCGCTTGCCCGTGTGGACTCGGATTGGCTGCCCCAACGGCCATCTTCGTTGGGGGAGGACTCGCCGCCAAGTACGGAATCCTGGTCAAGGGCGGCGGCGAGGCATTTGAAAAGGCAAGCAACGTGGGCTGTGTCGTCTTTGACAAGACGGGGACACTCACAGTGGGAGGAGAGCCTCAGATCACTGATTCTGTTCTCTTCCCCGACAAGGCCGTCGACGGACTCGATGAGCAGACTCTGCTCTCTGCCATGAAAGCCACGGAGGAAAACAGCAGCCACCCCATTGCAAAGGCCATTGTCGCATTTTGCAAGACGGATGCCAAGCAAGTTGAGCTCGAAAGGATCGAAGAGGTGCCGGGCAAGGGTATCACGGCCAGCTGTAAGACGCATCCTTTCGACATTGCGGTGGGCAACGAGAGTCTGATGCGAGATCTGTCAGTCTTGCTTTCTCCCAAGGTCCAGGGCCTACTGGAGACGTGGAAGCAGGAGGCCAAATCCGTCGCTCTCGCCGCAACAAAGCCTCGTGATGGCAGCAGATGGACGGTGACTGCCGTGCTCTCCATCTCGGACCCCATCCGCGAGGAGACGCTCCCAGTGCTCGAGGCACTGCAGAAGCGTGGCGTCGAGGTGTGGATGCTGTCAGGCGACAACGTGACGACGGCGCAAGCTGTGGCTCAGAGGGTGGGCATTCCTGCATCCAACGTGTTTGCGGAGGTGCTGCCCTCGGAAAAGGCGGCCAGGATCAGCTACCTTCAAGCCTCGATGAACAGCAACGGCCGCCGCCCCATGGTTGCCATGGTGGGCGATGGCATCAACGACTCGCCGGCGCTTACGACGGCAGACGTGGGCATCGCCATCGGGTCTGGGAGCGACGTGGCCATTTCGAGCGCTGACTTTGTGCTGGCCACGTCGAATCTGCACTCGGTGCTGACGCTCCTAGACCTCAGCCGCGTCGTCTTCCACCGGATCAAGCTCAACTTTGGATGGGCGGCTGTGTACAACGTGTGTGCCATCCCCATTGCGGCGGGATGCCTGTATGCCATCAGAACGTCGAGCGGATCCCACGTCAAGCTGGATCCTGTGTGGGCATCCTTGGCCATGGCCTTGTCGAGCATCAGCGTGGTGCTGAGCAGTCTGAGCCTGAGGACCAAGATTCCCTGGCTCGGCTTTCGCAACAAGCAGATTGTGTGATTTTTTTTCGGGGGGGGGGGGGGGGGGATCGAAGGAGTCCAGATGGACAGTCATCAGCACGTAATCAGATTGTTATTCTTACATCTTTGCATGCACTGTTACAGGAGGCGTCAGGGCACGGGATACCACGGGCTGTATCTCTTTGGTCAGGATCATTATGCGTTGATAGTTTTGCATTCATCCATATAGTACTCTAGTCTAGTTTAATCCATCACAGCCAATCTCGCGATCCTATTTCGTAGGTCTTAATATATTCAGCATAGCACTAGCATCATTCCCTCTGTTCAAGTTGGCCACCTCGACGGCCCCAACCGCCTGTCAAAATAATTATAGTCATGGAGGAATAGGTAGGATCAACGTCCATGGATATCAGAAGCAGACCCAACGTCGAGTATTGTTGTCGCGTTCGGCGGCAAAGACGCCCGACTCGGGCCCGAGACACGCCGTGCGGCTTAGACTGCGCTCCCGAACAGTGAGGCTCAGGATTCCTTCCACTGGAGCTTCTATTTGTTCCTTTTTTTTCTTACGATACTACCTTAGCCTTACCAACGTCAGGTTTAGCTGCGCATGGAGAAGGTACTTGGACTGAAAGTACCGCTCCTACTGGGTAGTATTCCATCTTTCAGGTGCATATTTCTTGAATAGGATGCATCATAAGGCAGGATATCAGCTTCTAGAATGCCTTCAAGTTTTCCCTCTCGGTGATGGAATTATTTGTGTGCCTGACGGGGGACCGGGGGGGGTGTTTCGTTGTTAGTATGTTGGGGGAGGCGCAGCAAGCAAAGCAAAAGCGGGCGGATATAAGCAGCAGCATTTTCGCATCGGGTTTACCGTTTGCCGGACTGACAGGTGGAGTGGAATGCTACGTTAATATGTACGCCTTGTTGACATGGGGGTTGTATAGCTGAGCTCAGCTGAACACGGGGCAAATCTGAAGAAAAAGGAAGAGAGGGCATTTGATCGAAGTTGCAAATCGGAGACGGCGGAATTTGGAATTTGGTTGACTTTTGTGAAAAAGCATGTACATACTTTATCTCGTAGCACGATTGACCGCAAGCAGGTAAATGGGAAGGGGGGAGGATGAATTTGCATCAGACCAGCAGCTTGGAACAGAAAACGGTTGCTGCTGTTTGTTGTTATTCAGGTGGGTGCTGGTTTACTACAGTAGTTCCCAATCATCGACACCTCTGTGCTCAGTGCGGAAATGCGAAAATGATAGTAACACTCGCCGTCTCTCTCTCTCTGAAATTTTCCTTTGTTTGTTTCCAAAGTCCACATTGCAAACCTCCAACATCCCGCTTCCCCCCATCTACAAAACGCGAAATCATTCACTGTAGATAGATCACGGGGGTAATATACATAGCCCCGTCCACCATGTATCTCGACTTCGCAAACAGAAGTGAAAAAATCAAATGTCCTACAGTGTAACATGGGGAAAAAACGGGTTCGTGCACCCAGGGAAGGAAATGAAATGACACAACGCCCCGTCATGCAGTGTCGCCATATGGAAGCAGAAGAAACGGAAAAGGGAAAAAGGAAACATGTAACTTGGGGTGACACTGCATCTGCAAACGGAAGAACAAGGTAACCAGCAATCCCAAACTGATCAGAACAGCATAGGAGACAAGCACACAAATAATCACAAGGAAAACCCACCAGTTTGTCCAAGTAAAAAGCAATATACGCTTCGATCCAGTCCCAAGACCCCGGTCCTTCCATCACATCTCTCTCCGATCCGTAAAGAGTCCGTCTCACACGTCACTTAGACGCCTCCGTACGCAGCAACACACAGGCTTTCAACAAACACGCGTATCCGCATCTTCTATCAAACGTACGAATACGCCAAACGCCTTGCATCAAAGCCCACACAAGGAAAAACCACGCAACACCTCCCCGCCACCGAACCCCCTGAATCAACAACAACTTCTTCTTTTTCCATGTCACTTCTCTTACACAAACTCCGTCTGTTTGTTCTTTCTCCCCGGGTTTATCCCCCCACCCCCCTCTGTTTTTTACACCCGGTCCCGGTGATCCATGATTTTTACTGCGTCATCTCGTAGAAAACAACACCCCTTCGTAAAGTAGTCCCGAAACACCAAGGCTGAAGATCGAAATTTGGAAAACAAGGGGATGGCCACTGACAAACACCCGTAGAAACATTGTGTGGAGGGATGAATTATGGATGGGCGGGTTGTCATACATGTCACCGGCTACAGAACAACGAAAGAAGATCAGCTGCAAATCCTAAAATACTGACCTTCTCCATCCAACACTTCATTTTACTGAAACAAACGCAGTCACTGCTTCCGTACATGCACGGTCACAGACAAGTGCCGAGCCACGGGCGCGAGGAACAAGTGCTGACAGCCAGTGTGATGTGGTCAATCGTAAGCTGCTTCGAGCTTTTCTGATATTTCATGGGCATCCTCCATCTCTAGAAAGAGGCGATTATCTAATGTAGAGTGCAGTAATTCTTCTCATCCTCCTCAAGGGAAATGACAAAAGGAATTAGTACAAATTGTAAGCATGTCATCTAGCTCCCAAACCCGAGCAGTGACATGTGTGTGTAGAACCAAGCCAACAAAAACCGAGACCCAAAAACCCGCCGTGTTAAGAAACTCCAGAATATTCCCTGACCCCAAAATTCTCTAGCCATAAGCAGGGTTCTGCCAACCCCGTTGTAAGCAGCTGCCCCCGTCCAGTCCCTCCGCTCTGATTCCTGGCCCCTCGGCTTCGCCTCGTTGGCAGACCAAACCCAAACCCGCAAATAGAAACATGACAGAAAAGAACACGGACCCGTTTCCCTTGGCCAACTAAGATTGCTGAGCGTATGCACATGATGTCTTTGTATGATAAATTGATGGTGGTGTAGATTTGTGTAAGATGGTGATGATTAGGCGAGCCAGGCATGCCTCCAAGATTTGTCCCGCTGTCAATGCGCCGGCCATGCAGCTCATTCGAAGGAGTCAAAGTCGTGGACCATGGATAGTAATAGATTGTGAGGGGAAAATGAGCAAGGGGAAAAAAAAAGAGACAATCCGCGACGCCATGCTTTTCTGTATAACAAAGAAAAAAAAAGAAAAAGAAATCACGAAAAACGCCCAGTATGTTTGACATGGTCAAATCGATGCAAGTGAATAATGTCGTTTATCGGACAGCGACGGCGGCAGAGCCGATGAGGCGCTCCCACAATGCGCGCCTGTGTCGCTTCTTGGTGGACACCTCATTCATCGGCTCGTAGGGCTCGACGGAGATGTCGTAGGAGAGCATTCGCACGCTGGGTGCCTGCGACTTGGGCTCGTCTCGGTCCATGACAACGACGGGCGAGTCGTACAGGCTGCCCTGGCTGGCGCCATACATGTACGGAGACGGCGACTGCTGCCTGCTCGAGGCGATGGACGAGGCATAGGAGCTGGCGGAGCTGTTGGAGCTGTAGACCAAGCTGGGAGGGGAGACGGAGCCGTTGCTGGAGCCGCTGCTGCTGTGGGCGCGGTAATGGTCGGGGCTGGCATGGCGAGATCGGGAGCTGCGGTACGAGACTGGGCTGGGGTACCGGGCTGCGGCGGCGGCGGCGGCGTACATCTCCTGCTGGCGCTTCTTCTCCTCGCGGTGGCGCATCTTGCGCGCGTGCCTCTCGGCAATCTTGATGCGCACGGGCTCCAGGAAGTAGTCCAGCTCGCGGTACAGATCGTGCTCGGTGATCCTCAGCTCCCACTCGAGGAGGAACAGCAGCTGCTTCTCCATCAGGTTGACCTCGGTGCGGGTGAAGCCGAAGCTGTAGTAGTCGGTGTTCATGTGGGTGTAGTTGGCCCAGTGCTTGTTCTTGGGCGAGCTGTCGTTGAGGTACTTGGCCGAGAGGATCAGGGCGGCCAGGAAGATGCGGTGGGTGGTGCACCGCAGGCCACGGGCCATGGGCTGCAGCTTGGCCTTGAGGCGGTTGAGGTAGACCAGCGTCGACATGAGGGTGGGCACCTGGACATTGGACGAGACGACCAGCTGGGTGATGAACTCTTCCAGCGTGGGCAGGGCATCGTCAGTGCTGCACACGGCCCGGGGTTCGGGGCTGTGAGGCGGAGTGGGAGGTCGGTCCTGGCTCTGGCTGTGACTCTTGGATTCCCGGGCCGGCGGGGGCATCAGAGTCGAGTCGCAGGCAATGACGCTGTGGGCAGCGCTGGCCAGGTAGGCAATCATTTCGCGGCTGACGGGCTGGTAGACGAACTGCTCGAGGGCAGCCTTGTTGAGGTCGTCCATGGAGAGGAATGATCTTGATGCCATGGTGATGATGTGGTGGTGTTGTGTGTGTAAGTCGGGATGTGTAAGTCAGATCGGCGGTGAGTTCGTTCCGGGTGGATAGAGCTGAAGACGGGTCGCTATCGATTGAATGAAGGAGCAAAAAGTGCAAAGACTAGCGCCAAAGACGACGACGAAGGCAACAAGACGATGGTGGAAGACGAGAGCGGCGATATATAAAGACAAACGATCCCAGCACAGAGAGGAGGGAGAGGCGGGTGCTGAGCCGAGGATGAAGCCCCAAAGACAAGAGCGGCACGAAGAGAGAGAGAGGAAGGGAGAATGAGGACGAGGTCTGGGGTGAAGGTTGCAAGGAGGACGAGATGGACGAAGGAAGAGGAGGTGGAGGAGGAGAGGGATGGCAAACGTTGATAACAAGCAAGTTATCGCAGTCAGACTCAGACACGAGAGGACGTGTGCATGTGGCCCTTATTTAGTCGGGACCAGTGACCTGTACACGAGGCTGTATACGTGCACGCAAAGTACAGGCTCGGAAGGGTGTACTCGCACAAGAGCACCAGCTGGCGGTCCAGGCGCTAGCGATGCGCCACAGGGAGGGATGGCAGGGTCTTGGCCGCCTGTGGAGGGGCGCTGAGGGTCGGTCGGAGGGTCGCTGGAGGGCCTGTGGAGGGCTGCTGTGGTGTGCCGGCGGGGATGGCTGCGGGCTGCAGGGGTTGGCGATGGAGGGCACAGGGGGGCCGCGGTCCAGAGAGCAGGGGACTGGGCCAGCGAGGAGGGGGTACCGGGAAGCGATGTACCGGCAGACAGCCAACGGCGGCGTGGCACGACCAGCGAGGTACGGCGACTAATGTACTGAGCTGCAGTCGACGTGGCGGGCCTTGGGGCGGTCAGAGACAACAGTTCGAATGGAGTCCTGGTACGGCGCTGCTTTGTACCCGATCAGGTTCCTGAGCCTGAGCACGTAGCTGGGGGCTGGTGGCTGGGGACGAGGTACAAAGGGTGCCGGTACTGGAGAGAGTAGGTATGTACGCGCGGTGAGGGTGGCGGTACCTCCAAGGTTGTGCCGGTGCGAGGTCGTCAAAGACAAAGACAGCGAGTTCTCGCTGGCAGAAGAAGCTGGGCGGGGCGGCAGCGGCCAGGCCGACAGGGATTCTCAGCAGGGCTCGTTTTTAGAGTTGCGCTGGGCCCGGAGATGTCAGGAAAAGGCTCTCGGGGCAGCGGCAGCAGCGTTCGGTGTCGCGGGCGGACGGTGGCGAAGGATTGCGGAAGTCGATGGCTGTGTCGGTATGAATAGAGCAGGATATGGATATAGCAGCCGGTTACAGCGGAACAACAGGCTGATTGATAGCTGACGACAAGAGCCCAAGAGAGACACGCGAGGAGATGATGGCTGAGTCAATACTTGATGGTCAAGTAGCGTATCGTATCCGGTTTGGCAACTGGAATCTTCAGAGTCGCCAACTTGGGAGAAATGAGTCCCGTGTCTAAGGGATGACCAAGACAGCAGGCCGTGTGTTTGCAGTAATACTACTGGTTGTACAACAACGAGGGCAGCAAAAGACAATCGAGCTCGCAAACGAAAGCAAAAGCAGAAGTGAGCGCAATGCTTTAAAGCAAACAGGTCGAGTCTCTCCGTTGTCGTTGCAAAACTTGTCCGGTTCGTGGGTTCCGAGGCCGAGATGTCGTGCTACTTGGTACCCTCCTCTTGGATTGGATGGTTCGATGTCACTCCGCGATGTGCCAACGTGGCGCCGTCCGATCCAGCGGAAAGAGGGGCGAAATGTTTCGTTGGGCCTGAACGAAGGCGGTTGGATTTGGGCGACGTGTCTAGCCGGCTGGCCTCTAAAGCTGTCGGCCGATTGAGACGTGGCGTCAAGGGTGAGAAAGGATTTTCACGTCCTTCCTTTTTCTCAGGTCAATCAGTACTGTAGCTGCTCTGCCTATTGGGTCGGGTTTCGGTGATGCTCTTTGGGCAACAAGCGAATGCGGTGAGAGAGCAGAGGCTGCAAGTCAAAGACTGGGGAACTGGGTCGAGTGATGCGATGCCAAGTATCAAGCATGCGATGTAGGGCGAACAAGGCAGATATATATCATGCAGCCTTTTTTTCTCTTTCCAATGGCGTCCTTTGAGTGGTGACAAGTGGTTGATCTACCCTTGTGGGATCGGATTGGAATCCAATAGCAGATATATTGGCCTTGTGAAAGAGGGCGTCCGAAAATGCAGGAAAAGCGCTACCGGAATTAATAGATGCAGCCAGGCAGGTGTAAATGCAGGGTCCAAAGCGTCGAATGATGGTCAGAAGGGGGCCGTCCAGCGGTCGATCTGAAGGGGTAAAGCAATAGATTTGGCGGATGAGTGAGAGGACAAGTCGGGCGTGTACCACGCAGTGGTATGCTGTGACGCTGATTCAAGGCCTGATGGGCAGATTCTATCCCTTTGTCGTCGATTGAGGGTGGGAATCACTGCGCTGCAGCGTTCCAGTGGTTCGGTGAGGCACGAAAGGGCAAGAAAATGAGGGCAAGCCAGGCCAAAAGATGGTGTGAGATGCAGAAGACAGAGAAAAAAGATGGGAAAAAAAGAAATGAACAGACAGACAAGGAAATGAAAAGAGAAGGGAAAGGAGAGAGATTAGATTAGACGACGATGGAGATGAGGAAAGAACGAGATCGGGAAGGATCCAAGGACGACGATACGGAGCATTTATCAACAGATTGCAAAAACCGCCAATGACGCTCACCTTCACCTTGACGCTTGAAGCCACCTTATGCTGCCCTGGATGAAACAAGAGCACGCGGCAAAGGCGTCCAAAATAGAAGAGTCGAATCTCTTACCGCTGATCCAGCTGCGCATCCCGTCTCCTTGGGAGCTCTAGAATACGGAGCACTGCTGCTGGCATTACGACCTGCAACACCAGCAATGGCAACAGCCGCCCATCGCCATCTCTGCAAAACACCCGGCAGAGCATCCGAGCACGATCCCCTCGGCGCCTACGCCATCGACTGGCCGCCGGCCCCTGGCCTCATCTCCCGCCACAGCCCTAGGAAACGCAAGCAAGGCAAGCAACGAGATGAAGAGCTGGGACAGAGGCAAAAGGGCGCCCATCTGCTGCCCTGAGCTGCGGCGGGTTGCCTCTGGGCGCGGCCCCATTGGCTCGCGACGCCGTGCTTCTGAAACCGGCTCCCGATTTCGAAACCCGTCGCTCTCCGCATCTCTTCATTTACAGAGGCTCCACTCCCTCGAAACAACCGCATGGGGATTGTTCTTTGCCCTGGACCTTGGCCTTGGGACAGGCGATTGGCGATTTGGCATCGACAGCCGTGGCCAATGGCGGCGCGCGACTCGCTCCCAACCTCGTCCCGGGGGGCGGCGCGTGGCCAATCATCGGGCTCGAGGCCAGCGGCAGCCTGCGGCGCTGAGGCGGATACGAAGGACAAAGGCAACGAAGAAGCTGGATCAACAGGCAAACGAGAGCGAACCGCAGCCACGGCGCTTTGGGGATGGAGCAGTCCAGGTCACCTAGCACAGGCTGCTGTCTCGCCTTTCTGTGTGTCCGTCTTACCCGTGACAGTCTCGTTCCGGTTTGTATTTTCTTTCATCCAGGGTGAGTCCACGTACACGTGACAGATCTGCTCGCCTTATCTCGCCCTTTGCCTTGTCTTTGGCCTGATGATTTGCTGTCGGGCCTTGATGCGCTGGCCGACGCACTGACCAATCGCTGCCGCCAAGGCACCTTTCAGCTGCACGCCTCGGCTGCTCAGATGTCAAGTGTCATAACGGATCAGGCAATCCAATCCATGTGAGTGACATGAACAACAGGAAGCAAGGGAGATGGCAAATGCACATGAGACATTCAGGTGGTGATACAGCGACACTACTACCAGTAGTCGACACCAATTGCATGACCTGCACAAAGGGAACGAGACAAGAGTAGTACTGAAGCAGCTTAGCATTTACATCCAATTTGATAGCATCACATACCTACTTACTTACCTCTACTGGGACGGAAAGCCACGCCGCGGCCGCGGGCACACCAAGAGATGCTCACTCAATCATTTTTGGCTTCGAGTTGCTTTCGTCCTGTCATTTCCTATTCTTTTCCCTCGTCGCACTGCGTCAGACAGCCCACCCACACATCTCGACCCGCGAGCCGCTCCAATGCAGGGGCAAGAAAGTATAATCTGGATAAAATTGAGAAGAGTTTTTTTCAAAAGGGTTTTCTAGTTGCATTGATGCAGTGCGGCCCGCACCCCTTTCGCCATGAGTCTTGAGATGCGAAACATCAATCTGAACGCAGCTGATTAGGTACAACGCCTCCATGCCAGACATTCTGCCCGTCATTTCACGCCCTTCTCCAGATTTTGCCCCAGAATCAACTCGCCGTGAAATCATCTCCGCTTTCCTGGGTATCTTATGCCATTTGATATGTTTCCCGCAAGTTTACTGCTATCAGTAGTACTATTAGTTGTAGCATCCGTCTCTCCTCCTCCTTCTCCCCCATCCTCCGAGACCTCAAGGATAACTAGTTTAACCACTTGCGAGTAAGGTGCATGTTTAACTTTCTCCTAGATTCACATGGGGTCTCCGATCCCCAGCCCGTCGACGTGGCGTCTACCTTTTCTACTCGTTTCCGACCCGGTACCTTTCTCGTCCCCCTTGTTTCTTCAGCCTGCTTTGCTTTGAGAGGGATGGCTTGTTGGCTACCCTTGGCACGGCACATGAGCGAGCATATCACGTCCGATGTGATGCATCTCTTTGATCCGTCCGCGGTCACTCCAAGTCACAAATAAGCACTACTACTCACTCTCATATGCCGTATCGTCGAATGAGGCAACTTACTACGGCACCCTCAACGTGTGTCTCAGCAGCTCCTCAATCCGGCCATGATGTCCCTGTTAGACCCGATCCGCGTGCAGACAAGGGCCGAGTGTAGTTGGTGACGGGAACGTGATACATGGTGCCTGGCCTCCAGCCCTTTCAACTTGCTTTTTGATACCCTTACCTACCCTACCGCTGGCACTTCGTATATTACATTGTTCAATTGTTTAGTATCTACTAGAGCAATCTACCACATGCTACTACTGCCAAGGACAAGCACTCATCATTCAGCTCTTGCATGGATGCTTTCTATGTAGCTCTATCCTTTGCAGCTGAGTTTTCAGGCCAAAAGAATGGTCAGCCCTCGCTTTTCCCACTCAGCTATCGAATCAAGATAGTAATAGTTTAGGCTCCTCTCGGGCTTTCTCTCCTGACCTCTTGCAAACCCTCCCAACCACACGCCGTCCCCAAAAGCCATCGAATCGCGTTTGCCCGAAAGATGCTGCTTACCTCTATGCCTAGCCCCGGCGCCACACAAGTCTTGCCCAAACCCTCCCGCCAGCCGCGATTCAGGAGCACACCCAAAAAGCACATAACCTGCACTAACAACAAAAGTCTCCCGAGCCGGTGTTCTTTGCTAGTAGTAGTACTACTAGTAGTAGTAATGATAAGTTCGAGGCCCCAACAGCACCTTCTCCGCATTTTCATCAAAGCACGGATCGAATAGCAGATTGGCCGCGGATCCTCTTTGTCGTACAAACTTTCGCGCCAGATAGTAGACCGGGGGGCGTTTGGACGGACGCACTCATCCATACAATATCGATGCAGGTCCGGTCCGCCCAAGCCTTTCGACCAACAACATAAGACTCTGATGTATTACGGCAATCAACGAAACACACAATCAGCAATCAGATCACTTCCACAGAGTAGATCCTACGTATCAGTTTGATGTAGCTGACCGCGGTACTTGTCTCGCAAGTACCGATGCCCAGTGCCTTCTTTTGCTTTCAACTCCCCCCGGGCACCAATCAGTGGCGGCATGTGCGCCTCTCCACGTTTGATGGGCGCCCGAACCGCCATCGCGGCCAGGTTCACTCGAAGCCCAAAGTCCTCTTGCATGTTCATGATGCCCTTTTGTCCCATTGAGAAACCAACAACCGGCCAATGCATCCGTTGAAAGCGGGAGCCAATCATGTCCAGCCAAAGAAGGGTGCCTTATCAGATTATACTACTCCTCTTGCTTTTTGAACTCGTACACATCATCATCGTCATCATCGTCCCCTTCCCATTCTCATGCAGTGCCACGAGTTCGCCCAGGGTTCAAAAAAATGAGTACATACATGCATTGCAGCATGCAGAATCAAACCCGCCGTCTTTGCTGTTGTACATCTCATCTCACATCCACTTCCAGCCCCCCTTCTCCGTCGAAAAAGTAGGTGAAGGGTATCTAATACGTAGCGGGTGGTTCCCGCGGGAAGCAAGATTGCCTGCGTTTGCCTTTTGCTGCTGTGTATCCCGAAGGCATACTTATCCTTCCCTTGCTCCATTTCGCTGCTTCTTTTTTTTCTTCGCTTGCCTTGTTCGTCCGGTTGCATACATACATACAGCAGATTTGGGTCCATGACCGCTCCGTATACCAACCAGGTTAGGGATTATCGTCTGTTTACCAATGACGCTCGTACATGGCGATACTATAACCCCCCCTGTCTCCTCCTATGCCGGCTGCATTTGCTTCGGTACGTATCCGAGCGGGTCAACGAGAAAGACAACGCATCAGAAGCGTGGCGAGAGAGGGCAAAGCGTGGGGTTTTTTGGCCAAAGGAAGAGAAACCCCCCCAGTCGTCGGGTAGACAGAGACAGACATCATCCCTGACCGCTGAAGATGGAACGTTTGAAGCTCTGCCAATTGCCTTTGGTGTTGTTACATGTATTAAGTGATGTTGAATCTATACTGGTTGTAGTAGTAAATGGTACAATTCGACACCGACCAGTAGCCGAGTGCGTACTACGGCACCGTCATGTATGTACAAGTATAAAAAGCCAAGGGAGGCTGCCAGTCATATCTCGTACACGCGGGATATACGAGATGCACAATAACGGGCGATGCGGCCGACTCGGAGTTGATCCATTGGCTCTCCCTTTGCCAGGGGAAACGACGCTGCGGGAAGTGGTGGTGGCCTCTCTCCGCAACATGTGACTGGGCGGGTGCGGCCACCATCTCTTGACTCCTTTCCTGCTACTGTAGAGCTCCAAGCGTACACGAGTAGTATCAAGATTGTGGCCAATGGCTCCGTAGTACGGAGGAGCATGGCCGAAATGTAGAGTACTCGGTACGTATGTGCCACACCCGATATATCTTTGAGCAGCTACAACTACAGTAAAGTAAGGACAGGCAAGCAATGCAGTGTCAGAGGGCCTTGTTGACGCATGCTTAGTTGTCAATAGCTGTGCATATCGTCACGATGCGAACGTTTTCTTGCGTCTGCTTCCTTCTTCGAGGTTATTCTTTCACCGCCACTATTACCGTACATACATACATACAGGCATCGTGCTGCCCCGGAAGAAAAAAAAAAAAGAGGGCCCGTTTTGCTGCCGATTGAATGATGCGTTGCGTCCGATAAGCAGAAATGATGTGCTGGGCAAGAATTGGGCAACGATTTGATGTGTCAACTGAGAAACAATGTTCTCTCTGTTTGCGGTGCGCTGATGAAATGAAATGTTCGAGGGGGCAGCATCTTTCAATGTCTGTGTACTTTGAACGAGGTTCCTCCAGCAGTTGGTATGGTGGTTTGAGGTACTTGACGATCATGTATACCAGAACCCCCGTCGTTGCGCACCCTTGACAACAACAGGAAAAGGCGAGATCTCGTCTTCCCCTGCCTTTTGGCGAATTACGCCCTGATAGGCCCGTGCGGCCTGAACCTAGATGGCTGCACCCTCTGGTTGGTAGCTACCGAAGCCGAAGCCCAACGCAAAAGCCGCAACGCTCCCTCTTCACAAGGTTCAACCTGAAGTTCAATGCTCACTTCTGTACATGCGGAGAATGTACCCCAACAACAGGCTCTCTTTCCCAACTTCAAGTTCCTGGACCAAAAGCCATGGGAAGCCCCCCCCCCACTTTTACCCCATGTCGAGCTGTGGCTGACGAGGCCTCGAGTGTGGCTGGAGGTGAACACGCAATTTTCGCCTTCCAACAAACGAGGTCACAAGCCACCAGCCCCATGGAAACACGCATGTCCAGCCATATGTGAAATGACAAAGAGATCGTGTTTCTTACCGAAAGGAGGCAAATGAGATTCAAGGCTTCACGAATACGATCACTTAGACTGCCTGAACTGCGGCGAGTAATATGGATGAATTGTGTTTTCAGTGATATCTTTGTTAGGCTGATAATCAACTTCTCTAAATAACCCCAACCATGCACGGCATCAAGTGATGCCAGAACTTTACACCCATTTTTCGCACGACTCGCTCCCATGCACACCCGATGCCCGTCACGGAGTGGCTCCGGAGGGCAAAGTCACAAGGATGGAGTGCTTTATGGGGGACCAGCATGGCGGGAAGTTGAGAAGCAGGAAAAGGACACCACCCACCTCAGCGTCCCCCCCAAAAGGAATACTAAAACAACACAAACACAGCCTATGGTTGGGCACCCATGTTACGGCACATGTCAGAATATTTTCTGCTTTGTTGCAATGTTGGGGTAAAGATCGATGTTGATTGATTGAGCGAAAACCACATGGGCGCAGCTTTTGGATGTGTGTGCATCTGGTGTCATGTGCTGTCGCATCGAGAGGGTGGGCAATAAGGTACTTGGCCTCGCTGTAACTTGCATCGGCGACGGTATTAGAAAACGAACATCCATCATCAATCGGATGCAATAGTCGGACACGGACATGAGCCATATCAACAAACACCATGCAATCTAATCAAAGCACGAAGAACGCAAACAAGCACCCTTTCCAAGTCAAAAACCTGCGTCCTTCCATTGCATCGTGCACTCAACCACCACAACATCCCCTTGGGTGTCCCAATGTCTCACTTCTCCTATGCTTCTTCGGTCAAACACAGCAGTCAACAGGCCGCACGCCCACGAGGCAGCATCAGCAACCACTCCTTCTAGAACGTCATGCACCGTTTCGCAAACACAGTCTGCTGCCCATCTGTCTTAACCCGTCCATTCAAGAACGTCGAAAACATCCCCTTCTCCTGGTTGCATTCTTTTATTTCGGCACCGCCGGACTCATCCCACCCCCCAACTCTCATCGCGTTCACATGTGCCGTCCAATCTTCTGTCCGCCTATTTGCCCGAAGGAACAAAGACTTTCACGAACCACCACCATGGTAAATCATCTCGCACCTCGCACAAACAACCACAAAGCCGCAACCCTGGCGTAACATCACCGAGCAAAAGAAACGCGGCCACCAATCCAGAAAGGGCTTGCTTACCCATAGTACCATACCTTGAACAACATAAAGGCACAGCATCGTATCTTTTCCTTCGTTGCGTAGTGGTAGAGCCTTTTCTCTCTCAGCCCCTATGCATGTCTCACTATAAACATCCATCTCGCGACCGCGATAGGCAGTCTAACCCGGCACATGACGTGATGCACATCGTTCATCTTTCCTCTGAAGAACAACACCGAGCTGGCATCGCCGAATGCTACCTTACCAAACACACTTTGCACTTCCCATACCAAATCCTCATTGTTGTGATAACGTTACCCGTCTTTCACATGTTCTCAACTTCGTAACCCTCGGTCCGGATTTCGCCAAGCTCCAACACAGCCTCGCCCTCACAAACAAATACATACCATACAACTTCAATCATACAGAGCAAATCCTGGATAGCCATCATACCTAGTCAAAAGCCTCGAGTGAAGCAAGTTTCTGCTGTTTCAGGTTCCCTCCTATGCCATAATTACAACTTGAAGCCCATTCCCTCCCGATAAACCGGAACGTTGCTCAATCATGCCCTCCAAAAGTGAACATGCAACAACCAACATGGGGCCCGAGCGATACTATACTTTAGCCGCGGCCTGCCCGCCCATTGGCTCTCACAAGATCTTCAAACTTGTAATGATTACCAGATCCTTCTCCCTGCTCAACTACCTTACTACAAGGTAACGATTCCTGCTCAGACCCATGTAGAGAGGCAGCCACGGCGCTTCCCTCTGCCGCGTTTCATCAACCGCGAGATGCTACCTTAACCTTACCTTGGTTAAGGTAGTCGTATCATTTAGGCGCCGTTGCATTGCATCTCTCGGATCGGATCCTCTTTATTCATTCCGAGGGAGATGACCAAGTACCACCTGCCTTGCCTTGCCTGTTACAAGGGGAAGGAGGAGGTTGGTACATGGGTTGGGCGCTTACTGCGGTTTTGCGCCTAATTGACCAATCGTGTTGTCGTATTCTTTTGGTTTGGGATTGTCGTTATACTCGTAATATTGTACTCCATCCAACAGCGGCGCCTACGACGGTGAGACGAAATACCCTGCAGTTTGACATTATGTTTGAAATAGGAAGATGGCTCGACGCCTGATTATCTGACGTCTCCTATGGAGGCTTCTGGTGTCGTGGGCTGAACTGTCGCGGCGAGTTCGAAGCTCTGAATGCCAAACCCATCGTCTAGCATTGCGAGCATCAAGCAGGCGGTATCAATGACATAGACTCAACAATCAGCGCTCAGATAGTCCCTAAAAGTCATTTTCCATCATTCAAGTCATCTACTATTATCCTCATGCTGATTGTTACCCATTCCTTCCCTACAACCTGGCATTGTCCCTGAATATGCTGTACATGAAAACATTAAAAAAGATAAAATAGCTGCCAAAGGAGCCCGTCTCGAGCCCGTATCCTCCCGGTCCACAGACCTCTGCGGCGCAAAGATTCGCCTCAACAGATTCGGCACATCAATGCGCGCATCAATCACGTTATCGACCCCTTTGCGATGCTCATGTGCCTTCGGCGTCTGACGCGAAACCGAGGTATGGCCAGTAGACGTTCGTGATCTCACCAATGTTGATCGCGCAAATTGGTGCTTCCCCCTTGAGGCTCTCCCTCAACCATATTGAGATGAGCAGACAATAACAGTGTCAAGCACGATTTTTGCTTCTCTGCTTCCCCACCCCCTTATGATATTTGGCGTTTCGGTGATGATAATGATGCCGAATGTATCCTGAAAACAGACAGGTGGAAACCACATCAGCCCTTTATTCACCATCTCGGGAGCCGTCATCAGATAGAGCATCACATGTACGGAGGCACTCCGCCCATCTAGTGGAAGTAGCCGGCACTGCGGGTTGCTGTCGGGGCGGCTGCTGGCGTCGTCGTCGTCGGCGCAGAGGGAACGTAGTCCTCAAAGTATGGATGGTTGCAAGCTTGCTTGGCCGAAATTCGTCCGGCCGGGTCGTAGACAAGCATCATTTCAAGCAGATCGAGTCCCTTCTCGTCGAGGTTGGGGGTGAGAGGATGTGAGAAATCTCGCTGCCACTTAGGGAAGGAGGCTTTGAAGTCGGGGTAGGACGTGACGCCGGGCCACAGGTCCTCGGTCGGGGTTCCAAGAGCACTATAAGGTGATGGCTATCAGTTAGCGAAGACAGAAAACACATGCAAGGGACAAGCCGGGAAAGGTCCTTTCTCACCGGAAAATGCGAAAGATTTCGTCAATCTCCGAGTCGCCTGGGAAAAGGGGCTTGCGGGTGCACATTTCCGCAAAGATGCAACCAATCGACCACATGTCGACGCCGGTAGAATACTGTCGTCCACCAAGGAGAATCTCGGGAGCTCGGTACCAGAGAGTCACCACCTCGTGTGTGTAGGTTCGCAACGGCACACCAAACGCCCGCGCCAGACCGAAATCTGCAAGCTTTAAATTTCCCTCTTTGTCAATGAGTAGGTTCTGGGGCTTGAGATCCCGGTGCAGGACGCGGTGAGAGTGGCAGTACTTGATGCCGTTGCACAGGTGCATCATGAACTTGCGGATAACGGCCTCGCCCAGTCCAAGGTGCTGCAGGCGAAGGGAAGAGCCCTCGGGGAGAGCCTTTCCTCGGCCGCCGTCGCTGACGGGAAGTGCCTCCATGTATCTCTTCAAATCGAGGTCGAGGAACTCGAACACCAGATATAGCTTGTGGCCATCAGAGTGGACAATGTTGAGTAGTCGAAGGATGTGAGGGTCTCGCATCTCCTTGAGGAGGGAGATTTCGCGGATGGCGGTGCTGGGAACGCCCTCGTCTTCGGCTTCGAGTCGGATCTTCTTCAGGGCAACGATGCGTCCGCCATTGGCAAGGTCTCGAGCCTTGTACACCACGCCGTAAGTGCCTGTGAGGGTTGTGGACGCATTAGCATGGCGGCATAGGTTGAGGATGTGAGGGCGGACGTGGAGGTGCCAAAGGAAGGCTGATGGAGGAGCCCAACCAGCCAAATGAACAAAAAGCGATGCATAGGATGCAGTATGTCACCGGGAACAGGGCAGGGTAAGCAAGCCACAGCAGCAACGTACCCTCTCCGACCTTCTCCAGCTTCTGATAATTCTCCATGGCGGCGAGTAGGTGAGAAAATCAGGCAACGATCGGATGGGAATGAGTTGAATAGAGAAAGAAGGAGATATCAATAAGCAACAATCCGAGGTCACTGCCTTGCCGTTTATCCTCGCCCGTCGATGTCGTGCACAAAACGCGGCGTTGGTCAAGGGGGAAAACACGGCCTTTTGGTCACCGCGGCGAGGGGTCGACAATTCGCGTGGGGGTGAAACACAGACGCGGTCGGACTTGGCTCTCTGGACGAAAGAAGGTCCGGTCGAGTCTGGCGTTGAGTCTCAATGAGTGTAGAATCCCTGCTGGGTCGGTTAGTAGAGCAGCGGCGAGAGGTTGGTCCCGCAGATGCAGGTCGAGGGCTGGTGTTGACGAGCTCTGGGTGGGTTTTGCTTGAGGAAGAAGCTGGACCCTTTTGTTTACTTTGGGACTTGGATGGACAACAGAAAAGAAAGCTGGTGGTCCTGGCCTAGCCCGGTTGGGATTGGCGCAGATGCCCCGCCACAGGCACAGAATGTGGCGTATCTCCAATCACATGGAAGTGGAAGCCATCGCCAATTGCTGAAATACTATGTATGGGAACTAAACAAGCTATATATGTGTACTACATTCATATAGAATCCAGCCCTGGGAACGCCGTATAGTGAACACATCGCCCGCTATTCTATTGCTAAACTCAACAGACTCTTTTTCTCAGGTCAATCACTTCGTCACCGCAGCTTCTTTCCGCCTCAGGTCCAGAATCTTGGACAGCTTCAACGTCCCCTTCTCTCCCCATCCAGAAGGGCCCGCCTCAATGTCAGGCCGGACGGCCACGTACCAGCTCCATGCCCTCCGATCCAACTCGGCTCGCCCCAAAACGCCGGCCCAGCTTGCAAACAGCAGCCTGAGAGCACCCAGAAGCCTCCCAAGATTCTCCTGCTTCTCATCGTTCAGTGCTGCCGCCGTCTTTTTGCCTCCACCGCCATCAGAGGCACCGGCAGAGGCAAAGCTCCGCAAGAGATAGTTCCTCGCGTTTTCAGGACGGTGAATGGCCATGCCTATTGTCGATATGGATGGCTTATTATCCTCGACATCGAGCCCCCAGAGCGCCTCTCCTGAAAACGTCGACGTCCGCCGCTGGGCCGAAAGGGCGTCGTTGAGGCACTCGCGCATCAGCCGCCACCGATCAGGTCCCAACATGACTCCGCCATACCAGCGCGCGAGCACAACGAGTGTGTTTGTGATGTTTGACTCACGCAGGAGCTCCAACATGAACTTGCCGCAGCCTGCTTCGCCATCGTCAAACGAGGCTTCTTGCACGAGAGACGAACCTCCGAAGCTTGTGCGTATCGCCCAGGCAACGTGATCCGCCGTCTTCTCTAGGTCAGGGTATTGGTTGAAGAGCATCTTCATGAGCCCCGAGCGCATGGACGGCGCCGTTATTGGAGCCGCATGCGCTACGAAAACAGACCCCTTGGAACTCAGCGTCTTGCTCGTTGCCCATACACTGTGGGACGTTGTGGATGCTGCCGTTGACGAGGACGAGTTTGTCGCCTCCGCAGATGATGAGGATTGTTGGTTCTCATCAGACCACGTATAGCCACCTCGTTTCAGAACAGGAATCTCTCGTCCTAAAACCGAAACTTTGGGCTGGCCGGTAGGTATTGGCGTCTCCCCACCGACCGGCGCCTTTTCGATGCCTATGCTTATGGCCTTGGATCTCGAGTTTGCACTCACCACAGCCTGGGCAAGACTGAGCCGACTGCTTGGAGGCTGCTCCGGCATCGTGAAGCGCAGCAGTTCCACCGCAAACGCAAGCACCAGCGGGGCTCTGTTGGTAACCAGTGTCGTCCCCTTGATCAGTTCCTCGTCCTCACACAGCGGCAGCGCCAGTGAAGCCTCGAGCTCCTCGGGCGGCATGGAATTGTAGTCCAAGTCCCGCTTGTGCACCTCCAGCCTGGGCTTCTTCCTTTCTGCGGCAGCGGGCTCCTCGGCCGCCCGCTTGTTGCTCTTCTTGCCGTGCGACTTGCAGGCCGTGTGGAAGCTCTTGGCCAGCTTCGCGTCACTGATGGCTGCCTCTACCGTAGCCAGAGGCGCCTCAGCAATTTGGTCGATGCTGTCTCAAACGTTAGTCACGGGAGCTCGTGGTCGCCAGCGTCGGCGGCACCAGATTCTCGCCTTTTGAGGTTCTTGGCCTGCAGTGCCTTAATGTAGCCCATGGCCGCCATCATGGACGCTTTGCGCGCCGTCAACATGCGCAGCATCTCCTGCAAGTCGCCATGGCCCGCCATTGCTGCTGAAGAAGAGGTCGATGAATGAGATGGATTGACTGCGCAGTCTCTCTGTGACTGTGTCACCTGCTCGTTAATCCCCTGGACAGCCGTGATGGATGATGACGTGACGTTCTGAGTTGCAAGGCCAGGATGTGGAGGGATGAGCTGCAGGGGAGTAAGAAGGCGAGATGCTAGTCTGGCTTAGTCGCCGGCAGCTCTTTGACAGAAGCTGTGTAATAATGCAGCTTGTAACTCTTCACCTTCCGCCACCAGCACCGTCCTGAACCATCGCCGTCTTCCAAGAATGATATGCATACGGTATATGAATCTACTCAATACGTTATTTAGAGAATCAATGCTTGATAACATCCACAATGCTGGCTGTCCTCTCCCGCTCTTCAATACGCCCTCGACACCTTGATAGCTGATAGCGAGGGCTGGCCCCACCTGCAACCCCCCCATGCACCTGCTGTGCTTCCTTCTGCAGCGGGTCAAATGCCCTCGAGCCCACATGATGGCTTATCGTATCTCGATAGCCTCTGACGGCGCCTGAACCGCCACTAACCACCTTTGAGCAAATTTCACAGCTCAACCACCAGCAACCTTGATGACCATCAGATCCTTCTCCTCAACAATGCTTCCTCGATGAACGCCCCAACACGCCGCCTTGCCACGGCCGTGGTGGGGTCCTGTTCATTGCCGCTCTCTACGCCCTTGCAACGCCGCCTTGCAAGCTCTTCCTCTCTGCGTCAAGCTGTGAAAACTCCTCCGGTGAAAGGGACCCCTCCCCCTCCAGCGTCCCGTGTGACGAGATCATATAAACCGTTCGTCTCTCTGTGCCATATACTGTCCCTGTCGCCTGCTCAAGCTCCCTTGAAGCATTGTTGACTCGAAGAGACTGTAACAGGACACAAAAACCTTTCCCTTCGACATCACCACCACTACCTCCTCCTCCTCCTGAACCTCCAAAAGCAGACACCCTCCTCACCATCTGGCGCCGCGCCTGGCTCCCTCTAACCGGCGCCTCCCTCCTCGCCGGCTTCCTAGGCTTTTACATCTTTGGCACCACAGTCGCAACGATCAAATCATCCCCATCCTCCACCTCGTCATCATCCCAGCCTTGCGAACATGCTACCCCCACCGGCCGTCCTCCCGCCCTGACGGGTGACAATGCAGAGCAATTCGACAAGGAGCTCAACCTCCCCGAGTGGTGGATGGGCATCACCAAGCTCCGAAAGAAGCTTGCTGCCCACGCAAAGGGCGCCGTCCTCGAGCTCGCCATGGGTTCCGGCCGTAACCTCGAGTACTACAACTGGGAGCCCCTGAGCACCGCCGTCGAGGCCGCCCGCACCGGCAACATTCCGCCTCCCAAGGTGCCCCAGGGTATCACTTCCTTCACGGGACTCGACATCTCCGTCGACATGCTTGACGTCTCGCGCAAGAGGCTCGCAAAGTCCGTTCCGCCCATGGCCTCCTCCGCGCCCGTCGTCAAGGCCTCGTCCATGGCCGACCACACCGGTGGCCAGCTCTCCTTCCTGGACGGCCACGTCCGCCTCGTCAACTCGGACGCGCACCACCCGCTGCCGCCGCCCGCGCACACCGACAAATACGACACCGTCATCCAGACTTTTGGCCTCTGCTCCGTCTCGGATCCCGTCGCTGTGCTCTCCAACCTCGCAACCGTCGTCCGACCCGGCACCGGCCGCATAATCCTCCTTGAGCACGGCAAAGGCTACTATGGCCTGGTGAACGGCTTGCTGGACAAGAACGCGGGAAAGCACTTTGCAAAGTACGGGTGCTGGTGGAACAGGGACATTGAAGCTATCGTCGAAGATGCCGTGGCCGCGACGCCTGGCCTGGAAGTGGTCAAGATCGAACGGCCAAACATTACTCAGATGGGGACCCTGGTATGGATTGAGCTGAAAATGGCGGCCAACAAGACATGACATTCCATGAATTCGCGCACTGCTGTTCGTGCAGAAAAAAGCAGCCACAAGCAGCGGGCAAGTGTCAGATCAGCGGATCCCAGGACTTGTTGTTCACGGCTCACCATGTAACTGGACGTTGACGCATTCAACTGATTTGAGATTGAGCGGTTTAGAAATAAGCGGACCTTATTGTTATGAATGAGTGGCATGCTCTGCTGTATGTGCTCCCTCTCTCTTCTCTCCTTTTGGTTTTTGTTTTCCCCAAACGCCCCTTTTCACAAGCACTTTCCTCATGGCTCCTTTTTTGGTTGTCGTCTTCTCATCTTCTCATCATCCCCGAAATATAGTGGAGGTCATCTAGTATATCTACAGGGGAGTCTGTCTCTCCGCAAATGTCCTTCCAGGTCATTGATACAAATACAAAACCGTCCAACGCCAGCTCCTCCCGCCTTGAGTATACCCGGTTCCCTGCGCCATCCCAATGATAACATTAAAAGTTAGAAGAAACAGAAAAGAGAAAAAGAAAGGAAATCAGCAGGCGTCTAGCAGATAATCGAGCTCGTCAATCTCGATGCTTTCGGCGCCCTTGCCCCATTCGAACAAGTTGTTTAGCCTCAACCAAGCATCGGCATCGTCTTCTTTCCGACCAGCGGAGATGCTCGGCTTGATGGAGGGGCTAGCCAGGAATATGGTGGCCGCGTTGGGGCGGCTATCGGCAAACCACGCATCGTCCCGGTACAAGTCGGCGACGCTCTGACGCTCGACGGTTTCTGGCTGGGGCGCTTCAGCGTTGAGTTTGCGCTTCTGCAGATGGCCGGCAGTCTGCGTAAACTCCCGCTCGTCCTTCTCGAGAGGCGGAGAGTTGTTGCGAGGACCCAACACGAGTCTCCGGTGCGAAGAGAAGGATCCGATGGGGGTCATGGGCATTGCAACATCGTCGTCGGCATTGTCGTATTCGGTGGCCGACAGGTCCACCTCTGGAGAAGGACTCAGCTCTCGCCGCCTGGCCTCGATATCTTCGGAACCAGAATCCTCCGTAAGGGAGACTGATGGGGTGACAGAAGCAGCCTGGAGGCTTGCGTTAAAGTCTGGAAGCTCTTGCCTCGGCTGGGTGGTGAGGAAGTAATAAGTGCGTCGTGGGTGTACTGTCTCGAGCTCCTTAGCCAATGGACAAGGGTTGGAGGCGGACCAGCAGGGCCGCTTCATGTACGAGGCGAGGCGGGACGAGATGATGGCGCACTGGTTCGCAGACCTAGGCGACGGTATTAGCATGGCTCGCCCAAGGAAAAGGGAAGCGAGAGAGGAAGAACATACTGCTGCACAGACGTCAGGGACTGCGCGAGGACAGTCGCCAACTCCTTAATCAGATGGGGGCGGTTGCCAGTGGTTTGCAGCTGGACAACAACAGCCTCGACAATGTCGTCCTTGATGCTCTCGAGATCGATCTTGTGCGCTGCGTCGGCATCCGGCATCTCCTCGCTGATGGCGCGTGTAGGCGACGGAGGCGGGGTATTCTCGATGGCCATCGATGGGGAGGAGGAGGAGGAGGAGGACGAGTCTGTTGCGGTATGGGATCGCTTGGCGCGCTTGTTGGGGTGCGCTTCTGGCGATTCCGAGCGCGAGGCACTCGAGGACGCCGGCGTGGCTGAGGCTGAGGACGCTGAGGCGGCGCGCGAGTTGCTCTTGGATGCCGCGGCGCGGGAGGCGTGCGTGACGGGGATGTGAATGCCCAGGCTGGGCAAGGACAGTGACTTGCGGCGCGTGTTGTAAGGCATCGTGACGGATGAGAAGAGAGTCGTTGGTTGGATTATTTTGGGGTTATGGATGGGTAAGGTATTAAGATACGGATGTAATTGGAATGGAGGAAAGACGTAATGATGGAGATGCAAGTAAGATGGTGGTGGCAAACAAGTATGTAGATCGATGGAGAGGACAGAGGGCAGGAGGGAAGTAGAGGGAGGAGAAGACACGGATCGACTACAGACTGGCTCGCACAGGGACAGGACAGGCAGCAGACGACAAGAGTCACGGGGGGTGGAGGAGATGATGACGATGTTTGTTTGGGGGTTGCTGGTCTGAGGTTCAGTTTGCACGAAGAGAGTCTCCCAAACAGGCCCGAGGCGAAAAGGGCAGGATTGTCTCGGGGCAAAAAAAGTAAAATAAGATAATAACAATCAGACGAGGAGAGAAGACCGAATTCGGGGAGGACGAGGCGGTCCGCGGTTCTACTACAAAGGCGGGTGATTTGGGGGGGGAGGAGGAGAGGAGACGAAGAGGAGCCACCGACGACGACGACGACACACGACGAGGAGGAGGAGAGCCGGTCCAAAAGCTCAGGCGACTTTTTTTTTTTTTTTTTTTTTTCTCTGGCCTCTCTTTTTTTTGGCGTTGGCGGGCCAGGCCAGAAAAAATCGAATAAAAAAGGTTACAAGCTCTCGTGCTTGCTGCCTTTTTCCCTTCTTTTTTTCCTTCCCCGTCGACCCTATTGGCCAGAGGGGCCCTGTCACGGCTGCCGAAGTGGAGGCCGCTAAACGTCAGTTGCTTCTGCACGGACCACTCGCCTGTTGCAGCAGATGGGGCTCTGCATACTGAAAGTACTTGTACTCACGTTGAGGCAAGCACGACCCCACTTGCACTTGGTCCCCGCCCCAAGCCTCCGAGGCGCCGGGCCTTACGAAAAGGGCAAGAATGGCTGGTTTGCTGGCATGCTTTTTTTGCTGGGTACGGAGTACTTGCCGCGAGTTTCCAATTGTTGCAGGCAAAATTGTGTACATAATACTTGTAGTAGTGGGGTTGAGAAGAAGAAAGAAGTGGGGACGAAGAGCTGGTGGGGGAGAGAGGGAAAGATTAGCAGCAATCGCCACCCTCTGGTTGGTCCGCTGCCTCGGCACATTCGAGTGGGTTGATTTTTTTTTTGCTTTCCCACAGTTTTTTTTCTTCTTTTTCGCCTAGATCGCAACCCCTGGTTCGATGAGGTAAAAGAAATAGTAAACCACAGAAAAAAGACAAAAGAAGGAAAGAAGGGGTCTTTTGGAGGGTCTTCTCAGGTTCAGGTTCCTGTGAGACAAGTACATACATATGTACCTTTGGAGACAGAAGGGGCCACATTGTGTGTTAGACCAATGGAGAACGAACTGGCACGCCGGACTTCGTGCAATGCTTCTAGAACCAAGAGGCAAAGACGCGAATAAACCGGAGTTTCGGTATCTGCTGCGTTTTTAGTGCCTCATAGATGGGAAGTGGACGTCATTGGCAGCTTTGGCAGGAATGGTCTTAGTAGTACTAGTTTGAGAATCAATTGCATAGTTCGTGTGTAATAGATGCCCTCTCATTGAGCACAGATAGGAGGAGCTTTCTGGTCTAGAACCTCGACAGCAACTCGGCACATCGCTCACCGCAAGGGGGCAAAGGGAGAATACAGGCAAAGTCAAGGTTCGCAATTTCATGATGCAACCCGGCTTGTTAGAACGGATCATTATCAGTTAATGGGAGAGAGAGACACACAGAACAAGCAGAACAGAACTTGTAAGAAATTGCAATAACACCGAGGATCGCCAGAGGCGGAAGAAAAGGTAGACTAGAAAGAGGAAAAAAAGGCCTCGTGCCACCAGGGCCGCTTGGCAGTGTCCATTGGCAAATCACGGAGTACGGAGTAATACTCCATACTTTTCCTCGCCCGCACATTTCGTCACAAGGGTCAAGGGCATGATTCCCCCCCTGCTGTTGTCGATTTTTTGCTTTCGCTCACTTCACCCCTGGCGATTCGAGAGGCACGGCATGGCATGAGCATGGCGGGGGCCCTCTTCTTTCAAGGGTCCGGAGGAGAGCAGTTGTGGGGGCTGCGAGAGAGAGAAAAAGAAATTTAAAAACAGAAAGCGCCCTAAGCGATAAAGGTGCAGACATCACGAGAGTCAGTTTGGGCGTTGAAAGAGACGTGTTCCATTGTTATTATGATACATAGATGGAGACTCAATGCGTTGACCGGACAGGCTCTGCCGAGATGAGGGCGGACTTGTTTGTTCCTGGGTGATGTCCGAGTATGGAGGGGGTACATGATACTGCCGTCCTCGAAGCAGAAGAGTGCCGAGACAAAGTTGTATGTATAGACGAAGGGAGCAAATGGAACGGAAACAACCAGCCACTGAGCCGTTTCGTGTCTCGTATGATGAGCCCGTCGGTCGAAGAGCTTGGACAAAGACGCTCCCAATTGAAAGTTGACGCGTGCTGCTGCTGCTGCTATTATTACCGCTTCGCGCTACCCGTACGTGCTACTAATACTAAGAAGCAACGTTAAAACAGCCGGACCGGCAGTCAGTCAGTCCACCTGGTCGATTATTACACCGCTTTCCCTTCGTCTTAGGCGCCCTTTTTTTTTTCTCTCATCTCTTCATTACAGCTTCGGCAGTATTCGGTACTCGGTACATGCATTCCGAGCCGTAAATGGCTTCCCGCTTCAATGTTACCCAAGCATTGCTTGCTGGAATCGAGCAGGTGGTGGCAGCGCGTACTAGTAGTACTTGTAACAAGTACCTACTACTTGTCAATGCTTGTGGATGTCCATTGGCCGGGTCCAGTTGCCTTCGTTTGCGCGTGCATGTTCTCCTGTCCTGTCCTGTGCTTCGTACGAGGACATTGAATAGTAGGTACCTAATTAGGCCAGTTGCTTTGAGACACAGGGGGGGGAGGGAGAGACAAAAGAGACAGAGGCAAAGACAGCCTAGGCTGGTTGCATTGACCAGCCGTTGTTCTCCGCAAGGGTCCTGAAAGACATCCATCCCTCTCTCTCCACAGGTGGCCCGTACTGTACGAACTGCTGCTTCGTAGTATGTACTACTAGTAGTACATATGGAGAGAGACATCTGTAGCAAAGGTGTCTCACCGGGGGGTGTTCACAAGCCTCGTTGACGACAATCAAACGGGGTCTCAGTTGCTGAACCTCAACGCTCCCTTGACGGCGTATTCGTCCTCCTCGCAGCTGGGCCACCCGGTGACGACGCACTCGTCCTTCTCCTTGCCGTTGTCCAGGCCGTTCCAGCGCAGCCCGTTGCCCATCCCCAGCCTCCACCAGAGGCCCCAGTAGCCCTCCTCAAACAGCCTCATCCACAGCCGCACGACGGGCATGCGCAGCCACACGGCGTAGTACCTCCACCACTTGACGCTGTAGCCCACAATGACGGACGGGTCCATGACCACCGGCGCGCCGCCTGTCGCGTTGGTGATGGCCAGCGGCAGCAGCATGCACTCGGAGATGATGCACTCCGGGGGCTGCTGGAAGCGCAGCGCGTCAGCGTCCCAGCCCGCGTCGCTGCTGCGCAGGGGCGGGTCGAGGAGCATGTCCCCGTCGAGCACCACGATGCCGTTCCAGCAGGTCCCGACCTCGAGCACGCGCTGCTCGCGCACGGCTCGCCGGTCTCTCTCGGACGCGAAGAAGGGCCAGAAGCCGCTGGCTGTCCTCCC